GAGGATTCAATTTAGTACACTGAAATACCTGCCACATTGAGATGGTGTTCAGTCTGTCAGTAAAACCTTGAGGAACTTCTATAGTGGTCCTATATATAGCTATATAAATTCAATATGTACATAACTTTATATTGTAATAAAGATTCAAGATCAAATATCAATGTAGTCTATATTTGTCAACAGATTGGAAATTCTAAAATGTCTTATACTGAAAGTTGAACTTTATCTATATGCTGGTCAAAGCTATCTTTGAAATGTCGTTCACAAGAGCACGAAGTCGTCAGAAAGGGGGTAAAATATGTGACCACTGAGCTTATATCCACACATTTGACCTTTCATTTAGAAATCGTTTTTGCAGAAATGCTTCACCTGAAATAATCATTTGTAAAGTGTTGTGTTTAAAATGAGGGTGGACTTTAAATTCTTTGGTCATCATTATAAAATCACATATAAATTTACTGAGACCCAGACCAAGCTTTTAAACTGTTGAAGTAAAATGCCATTTGAGGCCACAGATATATATACACCAGGGTATGCAGAATTGTTCACTTGGTATGAATGCCCTCCTTCAGTGATGGTAAACTGATAAAGCTAATCAAAACGCACAAAATTTCAACAAAATCTATACGAGTCGTGATCATTATTGCTGCCCAAAATACATACTTGTATATGCACACTTAGAATTTCTATCTTTCCATTATTGTACTGTTAAAGTAATCTCTTTTTAAATCTCGCTGAAGGAAATATTATATAAAGTGCGCTCTCTAGTTCATGTCTGACTAATGTTTACAGCCTTTTAGCCAAAACAGTAGAAGTATTGTAAGGAGCTTGTGAGTGAACCTCGGGTGAACACTCTGATGTATATGGCAAGCTAAACAAATATTAGTTTTATCCTTGTTACCTCTTAGGGCAGTGTGTGCCCAACACAATTGTTGTTGACAATATAAACAAAAATCTCACCAAAAGGGCTGGACAGGCCAGGCTTAGAGTATCCGTGTAAAGACTGGGTGTGATAATATTTAATTAACATCAGTTTTACTCAATACTTTAGTAAACTCTGGCATAAATAGGAAATACTGACTGTTTATTGTGGACATTTTAACCTAACTATCAATTTGTAGCCTACATCGTCTTATACATGTTTTATGGAAGGCATTGTCAACTTAGTTAGCTATGTAGGGTCCAATTGTCCACACTAATCATACCAATGTATATTTTTTACTTTGTTTTTCAGAAGTCGTATTAAAAGCTATAATGCCTTGATTGGACTGTAATTTAAACAGTGTATCAGTGTATGTCTATGCCAAATGATTTTCAAATATTGTTAGTTTGGTGCAGTCTATGAGTTAATATGAAGATATTACATGAGGAGGGTGTTCTTCTGTACACCTGATAATGAATAAGCTGTAAATAATGTCTGCATGCATGGTTTTATAGAGATTAGTTGACTCAGGTGTTCAACTCCCCATTAAAGATTCAGCAAATTAACCCAGACTGATATATTACCTGTAAGTAAGTTACTATCAGGAGTGGAGACTATGTAAATGTTTAGGGAGGGTATTAAATTATTAATGGACTATAATAATTACTTCACGATATTAATGAGTATATACTTCAAGATATTAATAAGTATATACTTCGAGACCTAAGTGTGGAACTCCTTTAACTTACAAATAGTAAATTTATAACGGTTATATATATGCACCATTACCAGCTCTCAATCAGTTTTATTGTTGAACTATTTTGTTGGACTGGCTGTGTGTTTACTTCATTTATCATATTTGATCATACTGTATCATAGGCTGATATATCTTCACTTAATATGTAGGTTTTGTCACTCCAGTAAAAATCTAGTTGTCTCCGAGTGGGACATCTGTTAATGTCTGTCTAAAAGCCAGTGTGGGTTCAGACTCAGGGTCTGACATTAAATAAAGGTCGTCTCCATCCACATCAGTCGAACTCAGAAATATCAAAGTCACAAAGGCTGAAGGTTAAAAGATGAACATTAAGTGTGTAATTGCTTTAAACATTCGGAATTCTTTAAGTCATGCAAATCATGGAAATTTTTACTTGAATTCCTTATGAATCAAAGCTCATCAAGATGTTCAGATAATCTGTATCTGCCCTTACGTTGATGATAGAAATAACACGAATGTATTCCCAAAACGATATATATAACTGCCATATTGTAACAAACACTAGTCGGTACCAGGGGAAAACCTGTTCTAACTGAATAGCACTTGGACCAATGTCTTTGAATCTGAATCAATGATGATTAATGCACAATTGGTTAAGTTTACCATTGAGTGGACGGTTAGTCCTACTACCATTATCTTGGTTTTACCCAGTGTTCTGGGGGATATGTTTCCTTGTCTATATGTAACAGTGTCTACTGTTAATGAAGACTGCTTTACGGATGTAAGGCTGTAAGACTTGGGTGTTAAGGTCAGTGAGATCTAGTTGAAGATCTGCGATTTATGCAGGTGTTCCTAATATACAGGTCTTGGTTTAAAACAGGTTACACTTGTGGCATGCAATCCAAAGAGCAATCTTATACATTGTATTATCTTCCTGACACAATCAAATAAAGGTAGACAAGATCGAGACATATACTGGCCCTCCCTTGAAGCAAGAAGTTGTCAAATATGATCCACTTTACACCATTCAGGATGAGTAAGTTGGTATAGGAAATGAGCTGTACCCGTTACAACAGTCAGCCCTTGTGGCATCTGTATGTGTGTGAGCCGGGGACATTTGTCTATCATTTGTTGACATTTGGATAAAGTCCGATGTTTATCGGTATATAGATTTCACACTTGATTGGGTTTCTTTGTATATATATTGTGAGGCTCATTGTCATGTGTGGTTGACGTCAAGTTTTATCATGCTTATAGCAAGCTTGACATTATGTCTATATGTTAAAAAATATCAATTAATGAGCTACATCAACGTCCTTTCAGAGTTTCTGAATCGGCTAAGAGTCAATTTGTTAGAAAATATTGAATATTTTTAACAGAGTTTCCAAAGTAAAATAAAAAAAATGAAATCAACCAGTTTTTCAAATGAACTTGGCAGATATATCATAGCCTAATAGGAAATGTATACTGCTATTTCTGTATCGCTGTTCATCACATGTCACTGGAAGATATGTGAAGATTTTATCTACAGACTTGTGTCTATGGTGTATGTATCATAATTCATTGGTGATATTAACTTTGTCTAAACACCTCATTCGGAGGTAATCTGTATGTCGGTCCCCGCATACCTGTGTAAGGGAGAGCAACAAAGGATGCAGTCACGGGTCAAGGACTGGCTATAGGGTAGGGTGTGACAGCTCCCTAGCGTGAGGGAGTCAAAAGATCCACCGATACCCTCGTTTACCCCTTGGTATACTTTTACCTTACTGCTCCACCTTAATCCTTTTCTCTGTCTACTCTCCATGACCCCATATATACCACTCACTTTTTATATCCCTAAGGACCCACTACCCCTCCCCATATATACATGTATAGCTGCCTTTTTTGTGTTACCCTGTACTCTTGCATGTCATGTAAAGTCAGTTTAAAGCACCTGGTCATTTAAGAGGTGGGGAGCGATCTTAATTCTTATGTCATCCGGTTGGGGACATCATGCAGAGACTAAATGATTGATATTTTTGCCTCTACTTCAAAATTTCCCAGGGATGTCTATCTTTGTCTCTATCTTCTAACATCTTTGGGGGTCCCTCGATTCAGTGTCCCGGGAGTGTCCTTATCCCTATACCTATATTTCTTTCTCTTTGTCTTTTCCTTCTACCACAAGTTAGTCTGGTGTTTTTTGCATTTGATATATCAAGCAAAAGATTGTGAAAAAAAGACAATTGAAAATTTGAAATGAAAACTTTGACCCCTGCATCACAACATATGGGTATTAAACATTGACTGATGACTGCCTAGCCTGGTATATCATGTTACTAACACCATCCCTCCTGACATGTATCCCTGTATTTGTATGTTACATGATAGATGGGTATTTGGTTATCCCTTAGCCACTACACACTAAGAGTCTGTCTTTAAAGGTTATTTCTGGCTATAATTACATATCAACTGAGGACATGATTATGGTCTCTGTGCTGGAAGATTATCATATTTCACTGTTAAAATTTATTTTGACCTGGTAAAGTTACCTTTACATTTCTACCTGCAATAAGTTCAACACAATTTCTACAGTATGCTTTTGAATTAAGATGAGATAAAATCTAAATTTTGTAGAGCTGATATATTAAATGGTGATTGACGGTATTTAGAAACCGACTCTACTTACAAAAGATTATGCAACAAATGTTAATATGATTGTTAATCTTTTAACACCAAGATAAAGTCATCTGATGAGGGCTATTAATCTGTGTGCAAAAAGTAAAATTTAATAGTGGTTGTATTATGGGTTGTTATATTTTTTAACTTTACCTGCGAGAGTACTGTACTAGAAGTTTGACTTTCTGCATTTAACTGTGGAAATGCATTATATATATATAAACACATAAACAAGAAAATATCTTCAATCTCGGTACAGTGGTAGGACGCCGGGCGTGTGACCGTAGGGTTGCGGGTTCGAGTCACGGCACTGTGATGTATCTTTGAGCAAGATATTTACTCCGCTTGTTCCAGTCTACTCAGCTGTAAATGAGTATGTGGTTGGGCAGTGCTAGAATTGTAGAATGCTAGCTGTGAGCGCCGAAATGGCAGCACCGACTGTATGCTCCCCAGGGATATTGGCTGGTTGCTAAGGCCCTATAACCACGGATACTAATTTGTGAATCGCTTTGAGACAAACTACGAACTAGGTTGTGATAAATCGGTATATAAAACCTTGAATTATAATCATTATTATTACAGGAATCACAGCTAGCTGAAACAGAATTTCTGTTACAAGAAGTGTTTACAGTATTCAAGTACAGTAGTTTAATATTTGATAGAAAGCATTATATTAACCTATATGTCTTTTTGTTTTGTTATCTGCAGAATAGAGAAGGATTACACCGCCCAGAAGAGCAAGGAGAATGAAGACCAGATTGAGCTTCGGGTAGGTTATCTAGTTAGACTGGAGGGGACGGTACATTTCACACTGTCCATCAGTCCATTTGTGAGTCACATTGTAAGGGGCATACTTCATATACTCAGTTACCTGCAATTGCCAAATTTTATATGCGAGAATATCCTTGGTATGGTAGAGTGTTGTATGCTGAAACAAGTCTCTTGCTCATTTAAAAACAGAGTTCTGGCCCTTTGTCCACAGCGTGTCTTGTTTGATAAGGCATCTCTCATATACTCTTGCTGCAACAATTTTCTGGGTGTACCTCTTCAGATGCGGACTGTGTTGCATTACTGAAATCAAGTATGATGCCCCACTATATAACAGAGTTATGGCCCTTTGTTCACGTCTGATACAGAAGATTGTCTGGAGTATGACTTATCCTAGCTATTTTACCCTCTTTCACCAAACCTGCTATTTATATGTATCTTGGGATGTTTTAATTGTTAAGTCTGAATAACAATACCATCAAAGTTATATTTTTTTAATAGTAGGGGACTGAAATGCTCGCATTTAGATCTTGTTATCAGCATATGTGCTGTTGTCTTTTCCTGATTGATAGAAGAAATACATGTAACAGCTAGTCTTTAAATTGGAAATTCCGTCCTTATCTCATTGATTAAAGCATCAAAATAAAAAATTATGATAGAATAAATGTTCTTTATAAAAGTTGAATTGAAACATATTTCTGGCTTACGTCTTTACCATGATTTGACCTTATTTTAACAGAGGTTGCGGACAGAAAACAGACTGTTGAGACAGCGTATAGATACACTAGAAAAAGTAAGTATCCAGATGTCACTGTGACCCGAATGGTTAAATCAGGCTTGTAGAATAGAAATGTGATATGTTAATTATAGTGTATGTGGCTGTATAGCGATGCAGGTAATGCTGTGATACAGGGGTCAATTACTGTCCATTAAAGGTCAAGTAGAGGCCGGGCACTCGGTACAGTTGTCGAAATGGTGTACATGTACAGTTTGCACATTTTAAGACAGCTATGGAACAACGAAGTCACATGACCCACACAACATTTCAACATCTTATAAGCATTTTATTTAAAGAATTCAGGAAATAATTTCTTTTTTCATTCATTATTTAAGCTTAACTGGTATATGAAGTACTTCCAATGTCAGTCAGCTTCCTTTTTCCTGGTAATTAAGAACTGCTTAAATGATATTGACTGGTATATATATATGAAGCATCCATAGGCCCCTTAAAGGGATTCAGTTTTGTATAAATGACAAGTGATGATAAATATGGTGAAGAGGAAATAGGGGTAAATTGTTAAAAGATTACTCCTTAGATATATCTTAAAATATGTGGATTCAATATCTGTGAGATACATATATATCTGGATCTAGGGAAAATGAAGATGCTTGATATGTCCTGGATCAAAGGCTTAGGGGGTTCAATATTGCATGGGAAACATTACACACAGCCAATTTTAACCATATTTAGCAAAAGTACAAATGATTCTGTCATGGCCCTGACTTTTGTTTTTGATTCAACATCTTGTTCTATAGTGTTATGTCATTATCGTGGTTTTTGTAGGAGTCAGCATTATTGGCAGATAAGTTGATCCATGATCAGGTGACACGGGCTACAGAGGCTGAGGAAACATACGCACTCAAAAACAAGCTGTCAACAACCAAACAGAAACTAGCAGACACCACTCGTAAACTAGAGGAAGCTCATGTTCTACTGGACGATGTCAAACAACGGGTAAGAAAGTTAATAGAAAAAGAAGCATGTTCTAATTATTCCCTTATAGATAAGCGTTATAGCCTAAAGCCCTTGTTGTTTTATATGGTACAGCCCCTCATGATAAGTATGTCCAGTATAACGTATTCTGGTTATCTCCCCTTTAGACCCTGAGTATAGCCAACGCTGGGTCCTTAGATGACGATGAGAGCGAGATTGTGATACAAGGCCTCCAGGAGGAACTCATTGCTCTCCACCTTAAGGATGCAGACACCAACTCTCTAGTTAAGGAACTCAGGTCCAAGATCAAAGACTTGGAGGATGTAAGTAAACGCAATCCTACAGATCTAGGTAGTCATAAAATCACTAACAAATACAAGGTCTAAGTGTATAACATGAACATCTATTTCAACTAGTGTTATGTTTTCATTTTGTAATATCAATAACATACAAAGCTTTTATAGGAACAGTTCACGCCAGAAATTGGAATTTTGCTGTATTTGTACTTGTCTACCCTCATGGCTAGTGTAGGTTAGATGGAAGTGTGGTTTTTGGATTGGTTGTACATTTGTTAACATGTGCAATGACATTTAATTTTATGTTTGTAATTGTTTCCTGCTACAGACCAACCTACAGCTACAGAGGGCACCTAGTAACGACATCCAGAGCCTGCAGGAGGGGTTGATCGCCGTAAAGCTGAGGGAAGCAGAGGCCAATCTGTCACTCAAAGAGATGCGACAGAGGGTGCATGAACTGGAATCCCTTTGGGCGGTAGGTTGATGTTGCTGTATAAAAAACATTGAATCAGGAACCGCAGAACTGTCCTAGGCTCACTTCTAAACTTTAGCTCTTTCTATATCTAATTAAACAGTTACTGTCAAATTGTACGGTAAAACTCAAGAAAATAAGCCATGATTATCCACTTTTATTGAAATATAAAGTAGTGATGTTGTACTTTGGATCTTCAATTACATCATTTATGAAAAGAGTCTAGTAGTTTTCACTTTAGTGAGGCTCTGCAGAGCTAGAAGAGCTAATACTTCTTGAAAATTTTGAAAAATGAAATAGAAACAAAAACATGATTCTTTTCATCACATGAGCACAAATGAATGTGTACATAATTTCTCCATATATTTGAACGTCTTCAATGTACGTATCCATGGTGATGAGAGTGGTGGTTTATACAACTGTTGTGTTACAGAAACACATAGAGAGTATGACAAGAGACCCGGTGTCTCCCAAAGATAAGAAACAGGAGCTGAAGCAGATCAACGAGGAACTGATGACCGTTAAAATCCGTGAGGCCACCTCTCTCTCTGATCTCAAGGAGAGTAAGCAGAAAATAATGGAGTTTGAAACACAGGTACATCATCCACTTGGATACAGTGGGCTTTCCTCATAACTTATCTGATCATTATTTCAGGAAACATTCTTCTGATAAATGACAGTAAACTTTTTAGAGACCCAATCATCCATCAGGTATCTGGAAAACTCTACCATTTGTAAATATTTAGTGAAAGAGATACCTTCCTTTACAAAAAACTGTCATGTAGACGTTATCCTGATGGTCTTGAATGTGGTTGTTTTGTGTAAAAATATTGTTGTAATAAAATGATTTTTGTGATAAATATTCTTATTTTGATACATGTATTCATTTTTAGGTCAAATTGTTAAGAAGCTTTGAATAAAAGAATATTGCTCGATACAGAATTGTGAAATATACTCAACAAGAGTATAGAAAATTAAGTTACTCATTGGTGATGGAATTTTGTATCTGTTTCCTGTTTTACAGAATCATATATGTACGAACCAGATACGTAGAATGGACGAAGAAAATAAAATGCTGAAATCCAAGATGGAGGAGAGAGATATAATAGAAAAAGATTATAAGCATCAAATTCAGGAACTCCATAGAAAAATGGATGATCTTCACACACAGGTATATATACCTTAAAGTGATACAAGTCTAATGACTGCAGCATCATGCTGAACATGGTGTTGTTCTAATTCAATAATGTTGTCACAGCTAAAAGCCTAAAACAAGATTATTATGTTGTATAGTTACGGTCTTCACAAGGGATTCAATTTCAGAAATTTTGAGAATGAAAGATAATGTGTATGTGAAAATATCTTGCAATTAAAATTAGCAATTAAGATTCTATTATCGAAGGCTACAGTGAAGGTCAGCCTCAGATCGGTAATGTTTTTAATATGTATGCATGATATTAAACAATCAATTGATAAAAGTCATGTAAAATAATTAAAATATTTTGAAAGAAATTGATGAATTTGTTAAAAAAAATAGTAAAAAATGCTGAAGTTCCATTTTAAATACTTCACTTGGTGATTCGAAAATTCAAAACATAGCAATAAAGTGCATATTAAACACTATTGTTTTTTTACCTGCAAAATAAATATCTATACAGTTGATACCTGATAAAGTTAAACAAAATTCAAATGATACATGTTTCATGTTTCTGATTGTTTTGTGTATTCAGAGGAAGGAAGACTCCATGATGGTTAGGATAACGGAGGCAGAGCATGCACAATATGTAGCTACGTTGAAACAAAAGATAGCTGAGGTAGAAATACAGGTAATGTTTGGTACAAATACAGGTAAAACATGTCACAAATCACAAAAAAACAGTCAATTCACTTAATTGTGCTTTATACAGCAATTGTTAAGTGGCGTAACCATGCCGATTCCTCTGTAAAAGTCGGTACAATCTATATAGACTTACCAAGGAAGCCAAGTCAGCCACAATCTGATTAAAATCATATGTTACATGGCTTCGTTAACTTCGTACTACGCCTGAACATCTGAGTGTGCCGCGGTCAGGGTCATGTTCAGGTGACCTTTATATTTATAAATACTCATTAAATTTTGACCAATCAGAAACGCTCTTTCAAAAGGGCACTCGGAGTATTAACAAATATGGCGGACATTGATGAGAATGATGCGAAAGTTCTGAAGTTATTTGAGATTGATCGTCTGAAACCCGAACAGAAAAAGATATTCGAAGCTTTAGTAGAGAAGAAAGACTGTATGGCGGTGTTGCCTACGCAATTATTACCCATTGGGTACGTTTTCCTTGGCGTCGTAGAAACGTCAGTTTCCGCCGCCATATTTGTTTTGGAAAATTAATCTGTTCGATACCCCTCGCTATTTATCTATCAACCATGCTATTCCTATTCGCTGGCAAACTTTTGCCAGCGCGCCTCTGATTGGTTCATCTAAAGGTCACTTGAACGTGACCCTGACCGCGGCACATTCAGATGTTCAGGCGGAGCCATGTAACAGATGATTTTAATCAGATTGAGTCAGCCAATTCATACTTTATATCTGGTCTAACTGGATTTTATAGCAAAAGTCTGTTTTTTACAATGTATCTGGGTGAGCTATTCAAGTAGGTTATATGATAAAATACAGTCTTTTGTATACAGTATATTCAGATTTATCAGGTTACACCAACCTGTTAATGCCCCTTCTTCGACCAAAATTTCATATCTTGTATTTGGACTAACAAAATTATATGGTAATTAAATGTTGGTCTATTTTATACCTGTATTTGGATTGTTTGCAAAGAGTTTGTTTGATATTATGTATCTGGAATAACCAGATAACATGGTAAGTTTCATTTTATTTTATACAGTGTATCTGGATTGACTGTAAAGAGTTGGTCTAGTTGATACATTGTATCGTATCAGGACTACCAAGGTGATTACACTGTAAACAATTTGTCTGAATTCTGTTTATATAGAAGGAGGAGCTATTGACTGCTGATCGTCTGGACACCAAAGTCGGTAGCCAGGACCTAGAAAATCGTATCTATGACCTTCAGGATGAGGTGTGTGACCTCGCTCAGTCTGCATGCTCTACTGCACATGACCGATCCTAGCGTGTGGGTGTTTTCTAATTCTCTTGTCTGTATTACCACCCCCATGTCCTTCCCTACTTGTTTGTGTTTTGTTTAGTCTGGAATGTGTCCATGTATAGTTACAATCAAAAAACAACATTTACAAATGTTGGGAGCTTTAGAAATGAATTTCACTGCAAAACAAATGCTTTAGTCTTGAATTCAAAACGTTACACAGATTGGATAATTAGCGGAATTGTTTTTAAATTGGGTAATATTTAGGTGTTTAGCAACAAACTTAAAGCCATTCAAAACATTTTTTGAAGTAATAAGGAAAGTTTTGAACAACAAAATTTTGTTTAGATAGCATCTTTTTATGATATAGACATAAATATTTCATCAGTTTAACTGCTGTGATGCACACATATTAAAGTACTAGCTAATTATTTTATTTTTCAAAAGATAGATAAACAATTTCATGTCGCATCGTTTCCTTTGATGAGAAGGGGTGTCTAATAAATGAAAGGTACAGTAGCTTTCCTCAGTGGCATGCTTGTCCTGTTTTTAGTTTTATAGGATAATAGCTTTTTGTGGGTTTTAAATATTCGCTTCATATTCCTTGTCCTGCTTTTAAGCATTAGATTTTTTTTCAAATTGACAATGATTTGTCATATTTTTCATTTTGATTTTATTTCAATTGCCTTTTGATTTATTAAGCTTTTAATCTTTCATAAAATCTGTTTAGTTTTACCTTTTGCCAAAACAGGATTGAAAGTAAGTTGTTATATAGATGTATAACCTGGTATAGATATTGTTTGTAATCAGCCATTCACCTATAGTGTCACCCAAACACTACCTACTGTACTTCACATTATCTAGAATATAACATCACTGGTTCACTTGATTTTTCATTCATTTGTATCAGAAAGGAAACTTTTATCCTTCACAATAACAATCATTCACATGTATGTGAAATGAAACTTTTATGCTAACCAGTACAATTCATTCCTGTGTGGAAGGTAATTATTGTGTAGCATTAAAAATCAGTTAATCAAATAGTTTGATACAGTTTAAGTTATAAAGTAGTATTTTGATTGCTTTTTTAATAAAACTTATTAAATTTAAGCAAAAGAAACAAAGACATTTAACTGCTATGTTTTTAAAATCTTCCATTTTTCCTCACATGTCTTGCTTATTGATCAGGACAAAATATTCCAGCAAGTATTTTTTTTAATCTGGTCTTCATGTTTTTGTCTTTGAATTAAGTAAAAGTTTTTTTTCCCCAAGTTATAGAGCATGAAATGTTGCTACATGGCATCGTGTAACTGGTTCTGATTGCATTTATTTTTTATTTTTTAGAATTTTTAAGGCTATCCTTTGGTCAAATGTTTTTTCCAGCATAAGGTTTTCATAAACTTTTAACTTATTTACTCTCAGGTGAACCTTTTAATAGCATTTTGGAGACACAATCAAATACTGTTATTTCCAAGTGTATGGATTGATAAGAACAAATATAGAGACCATTACAGTGATCTGAACATTGCATTGGTTTACATTTTTTTCCACTTGACAAAATTTGAAAAGGAACATGATTTTTTTTATTTAAAATTATTCCATTAACATTTTTATCTAGAATTGGTTCCATTGAGGAATTCTGTATTATGACTATTATTAATTTTAACTCAATTTACTAAATAAATATACAGCTCTGATTTTGCTGCTCAGTTTTACTTTTCTGTTTTTGTAAAAACAATGCACAATGTTGATTTGGTAGTTGTAAGATAGTTATGTAATTGTAAGCACATTGTAGCAGCATTGTTTCAGCATTGTTAGCTTGAAATTTTACCAGCACAAATAACGTAGGCTTGAGTTTACAGTTTGTATATTTTTTTTGCTAGAAGTGTTTACTATTATATTGAGTTCCTGGATTCATTGTACATGAACTGCAAAAACAGCGAAAATACGTACCCTACAATATGTTATAACAGGGCAATGAAAACTTGCTCTTAAAACAAACGTGTAAACATTTTGTAAAGTCAGAATGAGATTAAATTAGGTTAAATTTAATGCAAAATAAGAAATGAAAAAACAAAATAGAATTTTCAAAATGTAAATTTCTTCAACCTTAATTAGCATCGTTAATCTAAGCATCTCTGCTGTATAATCTGGACTCCATGCATGTTTCTACTGATCCACATGATAATAACTTTGATCATCACAATTCATTAAATACTACAAACACTGTAATCCATAATATTTAAATAAATGTTAGTAAATATTGTAGGCAGAGTTTAAGAATATTTTCACATGATTTTAGAAAACCAAGTAAGTTTGATCGGTGACTCATTAATGATTGTATTAGGTATACATAGAGTCTTATTGGAGTGGTATGGTTAGGACAGTAACTGCTTGTAGAGAGGCTTGTGGAGAGCTGCTTTAGATAGACTGCAGGGCTTTTAGATCCTATACCCGTAACTTTAAAATTAATATAACAAGATCATATGTGTTGTGCTGGAGTTTGGTATATACAGGGTACATATGTACATCAAATAAATTGCCTTGATGACAGTGTAAATTATGATTAATAATTTATTGCATTTAGAAGTGAAAAAAATATATACAAGCTGATGTTGGCTTTAGAAGAAAAAGTACATTTGATTGATTCTATTCCTCAATCACATTTAATCAATTCTATTCCTCAATCACATTTAAGTAAGTATGAAGTGTGAGCAAAAACCCCACATTTTTCTTTCAAAATGACATCTTAATTTTGAAAATGTTGAGATCACTTTTTCTTAATTCACAAACATAGTTGTTTTCTGTGCATGATCACAACTAGAGCTAACACTTGACTTGGTACCTGTTGTATGTATAAGAATGTCCTTGATGTCTGTTATACACATACGTTAGTAGTACATGTATATGTTGATGCTCCAAGTGCATGTAACAGGTACTTCTAAATCATTATACAATCATTAATGACAAAATTATTCACATCAAGTGATACTTCCTGTCCTTTCTGGCCTTTTTCAGTAACTAAACATTACAATACTTGATATTATTGATAATGATCATCATCAGGATGTACAATAATTGTATGTATATGGCAGTGCCATTAGCACCTTTACATTTGTTATATCTGCAAAATAAGGCAAATTTGATGTAGTCTGATATTATTGTATCTTGTTTCATATGTTTTGAACAAAGGGAAAAAAGGAGGGAACAAAAAAGAGTTAGATTTTATGGAATTTTCCGTTTCCAATTATAGAACAGAAAAGTTGATATCTGTAAACATACTTTATGATGGAGTTTCTGTTACAGGTTTTACAACTAAAACTGATGCAGAAGACACCAGAAAGCGAGCGGCCAAGACACAATGGCTTCTGTGGACCTGGTAAGGATAAGGTCGATGACGAGGACGAAGAAGACGAGGAGGATTTCACAGATCTCGAAAACCCAGAAACATTAAATAGGACTTTGTCTGAAATAGTTGACGGCCATGACTTGTCTGAGGAAATGTCCTCACAGTTACAATACAATGGTGCTTCAGACACAGATTCAGCTAATCTAGGGAGTAGTGCAACACCCTGTGGCATTCAGGCCAACAGGCAACTCAAAACAGAAGACTCTTTACAGAAATTGAAGAGCTCAGAGCAGTCTTTATCTTGTGATGTTTACGGCACTCCATGGGTGCCTCGAGATGCCAGTGATATTATTGATGTGGAGATTTATAAGGAAAGTAAAGTGTAGTTGTACAGGTTTTATTTATAATTAATATGCAACAGTCTACTGACATGTTTGTGCTGTTTGGCCAAGGCAGAGGCTACAGATTACACTTTTGTCGTGAAAGTGTACACTTCAGATATTGAGTTATGTCATGATTATACAAAATTAACTGGTACTTTAAATGGTCTTGCTGCATAAAAAATCATTAAAGGTGCAAAAAACCAAATGTTTTATGAGAGATAATTGACAAAAGTAACCTTGCCCCTGTCTTGGTCCAAAGGGTTTGGGTAAGGGTACAAGTGGCGTGGCCTCATCACTGTTATTGCCCCGCCCCTTTTTATGAGTCATACATCACCATGGTGCAACTCTGTAATCAGTATTTATGTTCATCATTTCAGTTCATTGTGTACAATTTTTACTGTGTTGTGTTTAAAATGCTTTCGTATTTTTTGTAATTTTATTGACATTTTCTCATTTGCATGTATCCCATTTTGTCATTGTGATTTTTACCATGCATAACAGTGATGTTTGTTTTTGTCAGGTTGATTCCATACTTGGTCACTTGACTTCCAGGAGGGGAAAATATAAAAAAGAAAAAAATTAAAAAGAAAGTTGATGGTGTTTTGACTATCATACTACAATAAATGCCTGAGTTTTGTGTAGAGAAGTCACTCTGTAGGACTGTTGGTATTTTAAGTAATACCCAAAATGTAAATTATCTAATTGCTGAGGGACATATAGGTTGGTTTATGGACACGTTTATAGTTACTAATAAAATGGCATATTGCAATGGGGTGACATAAGTCGGGGAGTGACCGACTTGTCCAGGGAGTGACCGACTTGTCCAGGGAGTGACCGACTTGTCCAGGGACTCGCATGCAGTATTGGTTTTTGTATGGTGGCATTTATCCGATTGGTTTTGGTCCAAGGGAGTTAACTCCAAATTTTCAACTGAATTTTAAACACAACAGCATTTACCAACTAATAAAACTGGAGTATTTGTCTGCTTTAGAAAGTATTGACTAGGTGGGTAAACATGGGTACAGAGGAAACATATATTTGAGGTATACCATGTGATATACTACCAGGTATATATTTTGTATTTTCTAAAATATCAGATTTCTTTCATTGTGAACTTATTACATTTTATTCCTCGACCCTAGTCTGCCAGAGAATTCTGATAATTGCACACTATATTACAAGAGTTTTTATTTTTGGTCAACTTTATTTTTGCCGTTAACATAAATGTCATTACTTTATACATTTACAAGCTTGTGTGAACAGCTGGTTCTGTTTCAATTGTCTCCCTTGTCTAAGTTGTTTTTACCAGGCTTATAGTTGGCTTACATACATAAATGTATACAACAGCTGTTATTTTAGACAATGCAATGTATTTGTACACTATAACCAGGTATCGGCTAATAAAATCAGCTTCCACTGTGTACTACTGTAGTGCCACTGTAGTACCACTAAGTACCAGTACTATTTAACCATTCACCAATCATGTCACTGTTTCACTTTAAAATCAATTGAGTTACAAGGCTTTACATTTATTCCCATCCACAGATCGAAGTTTTAACATAATTCTATCCCATCACGAATATGTCATCATGTGTTGTTTACCCTCGTGGCATCCTTTGCTGATATCGGGGCTGTAAAGAGTTTTTATTGTAGCATATTTTGACCACCTTTTATTATAGAATCTGCAAACATATTTAGGATGCCATGTCTGAAGACACATCAACATCATATATTAAGCTTGAGTTGCTGCAAACTAAAATGTATCATTCAGTCCTCAGGGAGTTAACTCCATTTGTAAACCCCCATTATTACTAATATGATATAGGATCGGTATAGGGGATGGAGGGTGTTGTGTGGATGTTGAGGTTGTCATGATTGTGTTCAAACATTTAGTTTCAAATTAATCATGGTTGTATGCAGTAGACAGTCAATTTCTTTGTTTTGACATAAAATTTATACTTTCCAATGCAATATCCAACGAATTTGTGTTAATGTATGCTTGTAATGATAAGTCAGATGCTGCTCCAGATTTAAAGCTATTTTGTATATTTTGGTGAATGTTGGGAAGTCTGTAGTTATGTTCTGTCACAAATCTTCAGGTCACGTCACACTGTTTTGTTAGGTAGGATTGTTAGCTCACCTGGTACGATTTTTTAGGTATGATTGTTAGCTCACCTGGTACGTTTTGTTAGGTAGGATTGTTAGCCCACCTGGTACGTTTTGTTAGGTAGGATTGTTAGCCCACCTGGTACAATGTACTACAGGGAGCGTATATGGTGTTGCTTTGTCTGTCATCTATTGTCAAACATTTACAGTAAGGAAACTCTCCTCCAAAAACACTGAACAGAATTTAACAATACTTTGTTAGTAGTTATTTTATATTATGAGTATCAAAAAGAAAGGACAGTCCTCCTTGGAGCTGAAGGAGGGGTCAAAAGGGTTCAGATTGGCTGATTGCTTTAAACTACATTACTTATAAAACTATCTGCCAGGTTTCGACCAAATTAGGGTGATAGTGTCCTTAGTTTAGGGAGATAGATAGTTATTCAAATAAGTGAGCAATCCATTGTCCTTTGCATTTTTTTTTTATTTTTTTTTTAAAGTATGGAATTTATCAAAGGTGCATTATAAATCGTTATGGAACAAAATTGAGGAAAAAAGCGTATCACGTTATTTTGATAGTTGTTTTCAATTTGCCAATATAGTTTGATTTAATCACAAATATTTAGATGATACTTATTCACTTATCAGTGTTTCAGTATGCATTTGTACTTGGTAATACAATGGTGATTTGTATAAAGAAAACAACTGAGTGTAGAAATGATCAGGTACGATGTTTTCACCTGCTGAACTTTCTCCCATAGGTCTTTCACAAGTTCACCTTCCTGTTGATTTATATGAAAATTTATGAAATGTGATCATTGCCATTATCCTCGAAACGATTCCAGAGTATTAAAATAAAATAAAGAGTCATTCTTTTGTACATTATATTGTATGTAATAGAATGGACCTGATCAGTCTGTCCTAGAAAGCTGGAAATGTGATGTTGTTGACCATTTCACAGTGTTAAGTACAGGAGGCCATAATGTTTAGTTATCAAATCTCTCCTCAGTTAACAAGGAGCCAAAGGATCACCTATACATGGATACCTGTTGGATTTTCTTGTTTTGAATAGTTGAATTACTATCATGAAGGGTTTACTCAACACCCTGTCAATTTAAAAAAAAAAAAAAATGAGTTGTCTAAATGAAAATTTTGAACTGTGCTTATACTGTATACCTAGCTATTTGGAGTGAGTTTTCAGTTCTTTTTAAGGATAGCATAAGGACAATTTGATGAAATTGTGCATATCTTAAAGAAGCTTATAGAAGATGAAACTGATAGACATTGGAAATAGATTTATAGAGTTTCTGCTTAACTTCTTTATAAATCTTATTTAAAACAGATAAATATCAACAGGTTTGTGAATTCCTTGTCTAGTCATCATAGAGGGATGATTGGTTTACTTTTCTCCATTATCTACATGTACTGAATATTTACTGCAAATGTCGCGGCTCTGAACACGACTCGCTCCCCAGAAATGTCAGTAAAATCTCCCTAGTGATGGTGTTTAATTTCTGTAACAGAACAAATGTGTGCGATCAGGACATGCCTTCCCCTACAGTAAAGTGTTGGGCGAGTATGTTTTGTAACTTAAATATATATTAGAGATCATTTGTGTGATGTATGTGGAAAAAATTACATGATCTAGGCTAAAATTCCAAGAAATGAAACAAGTATCCCTTACTTATCCTGTTAAAGTTGTTACAGAATTTATGTCTGTTATAAAACGGCCAATTACTCAGGCCGGCCATGTTTCCTCTTGTTCCAGTGTTCCTTGTTTTCCCAGGAAAGCCATCACTAGGAAGTGGAATTCATTGTGTTATTTGTTATGATATGTGCCAAACTAAACTTTTGAGATAAGTTAGTGTAAGATTTTTTTTCTCTGTCAAACCAAAACATGTGATCAAATGTATTTTTTTATCAAGTATTTTCAGTCATAAGAATATTTGGAGAAGATCCTAATTTGATCCAAAAATGTTTTAGTTGTTGATTGAATCAAAATAATACAGGTTTATCTGTTGACCAAAAAACTAGGGTTTTCCCAAGGTTTTTAGATCAATACATGTATTTTAATTCACAACCATACATTTTTTTTATAAATTAACTTTAAAGTTCATGTTCTTTTCTCAATATTGGTTAATAATCGAACAAAAAAATAGTAAGCTTAGCTAAATCTTACTTTGTTAAAATGTCATGTTTGTAAAATTTCATTGGAAAGTCTACCTATAATTGCTTGTCACTTTAAATTTGGACATCTTTCATTTGTATAAAAATCGTTGCATCCTACTTTTAAGAAAATAAGGGAATCATGTCTACAAAATAGAAATTATAGAATAGTTGTAGTTATCAAACCATTTTGAAGACAAAATCATGAAGAAGTTTTAATATACTTAATATGACTGCCTTGCAATGTGCTTGTTGGTGTTGAAACTATATCTTGATCCAAATTGTGTTATATGTGGATGTGTACTTGGTTTACACCTGACCAAGCTTATAATGTAAGGACCTAGGAATGTTGTCTGCATCTCACTCAAGATATCTGTGGTAACGTCATCATATCAGCGTTGTTATTGAAGCAGGAATTTTCATTTTTCTTTAATAATACCTGGGTTCATAATGGAAATTGTCATTTTACTTTCACTTTACAGTAATATTACATCATGAGTATTGATAAAATTTAGAATTTCACTCCTTTGGCGAATTATTGCAACTTATGTTATTTTAAGTATCTGATGCCTCCAGGTTATCTAGAGTGAGATTCAGACAACATCTGCTGTTATCATTTATCAGCCCAGTTCATACAAGTTCAGGCTGTTACTTACCGCCAGGAAATGTCATCATGTTATTTTGTACCTGATGCAATTGACAATAAAAATAAATTATATGTTGTAACTTGTTTGTGTTCTTCCCACATACATTTGCACAGTCATGTAAATTAAATACAAGTATCGGGAAACATGCAGTACCCATACGTATCTACCTGTCTGACCTATAACAGATATATAAGGAGATATATCAGACCTATAACACATATATTAGGAGATATATCTGACCTATATCATATATTAGAGATATATCTGATCTATAACAGATATATTAGGAGATATATCTGACATATAACAGATATATTAGGAGATATATCTGACCTATAACATATATTAGAGATATATCTGATCTATAACAGATATATTAGGAGATATATCTGACCTATAACCGATATATTAGAGATTAAGAGATATATCTGACCTAAAACAGATATATTAGGAGATATATCTGACCTATAACCGATATATTAGAGATTAAGAGATATATCTGACCTAAAACAGATATATTAGGAGATATATCTGACCTATAACATATATATTAGGAGATATATCTGACCTATAACAGATGTATTAGGAGATATATCTGACCTATAACAGATATATTAGAGATATATCTGACCTATAACAGATATATTAGAGATATATCTGACCTATAACAGATATATTAGAGATATATCTGACCTATAACAGATATATTAGGAGGTATATCTGACCTATAACAGATATATAAGGAGATATAACAGATGTATTAGGAGATATATCTGACCTATAACAGATATATTAGAGATATATCTGACCTATAACAGATATATAAGGAGATCTATCTGACCTATAACAGATATATAAGGAGATATAACAGATGTATTAGGAGATATATCTGACCTATAACAGATATATTAGAGATATATCTGACATATAACAGATATATTAGGAGATATATCTGACCTATAACAGGTATATTAGGAGATACATCTGACCTTTAACAAATATATAAGGAGATATAACAGATGTTTTAGGAGATATATCTGACCTATAACAGATATATCTGACATATAACCGATATCTTAGGAGATATATCTGACCTATAACAGATATATTAGAGATATATCTGATCTATAACAGATATATTAGGAGATATATCTGACCTATAACAGGTATATTAGGAGATATATCTGACCTATAACAGATGTATTAGGAGATATATCTGACCTATAACAGATATATTAGAGATATATCTGATCTATAACAGATATATTAGGAGATATATCTGACCTATAACAGATGTATTAGGAGATATATCTGACCTATAACAGATATATATGACATATAACCGATATATTAGGAGATATATCAGACCTATAACAGATGTATTAGGAGATATATCTGACCTATAACAGATATATAAGGAGATCTATCTGACCTATAACAGATATATCTGACCTATAACAGATATATAAGGAGATATATCAGACCTATAACACATATATTAGGAGATATATCTGACCTATATCATATATTAGAGATATATCTGATCTATAACAGATATATTAGGAGATATATCTGACATATAACAGATATATTAGGAGATATATCTGACCTATAACCGATATATTAGAGATTAAGAGATATATCTGACCTAAAACAGATATATTAGGAGATATATCTGACCTATAACCGATATATTAGAGATTAAGAGATATATCTGACCTAAAACAGATATATTAGGAGATATATCTGTCCTATAACAGATATATTAGGAGATATATCTGACCTATAACAGATATATATGACATATAACCGATATATTAGGAGATATATCAGACCTATAACAGATATATTAGGAGATATATCTGACCTATAACCGATATATTAGAGATTAAGAGATATATCTGACCTAAAACAGATATATTAGGAGATATATCTGACCTATAACAGATATATAAGGAGATATATCTGACCTATAACCGATATATTAGAGATTAGGAGATATATCTGACCTAAAACAGATATATAATGAGATATAGCTGACATATAACAGATTATTAGGAGATATATCAGACCTACAACAGATATATAATGAGATATATCTGACCTATAACAGATATACTAGAGATTAGGAGATATATCTGACCTAAACCAGATATATTAGAGATATATCTGATCTATAACAGATATATTAGCAGATATATCTGACCTATAACAGATATATTAAGAGATATATCTGACCTATAACAGATATATAAGGAGATATTTCAGACATATAACAGATATATAAGGAGATATATCTGACCTATAAAAGATATATTAGAGATATATCTGACCTATAACAGATATATTAGGAGAAACAACAGATATATTAGAGATATATCTGACCTATAACAGATATATTAGAGATATACAGATATATTAGGAGATATATCTGACCTATAACTGGTATATTAGGAGATACATCTGACCTTTAACAAATATATACGGAGATATAACAGATGTTTTAGGAGATATATCTGACCTATAAAAGATATATTAGAGATATATCTGACCTATAACAGATATATTAGAGATATACAGATATATTAGGAGATATATCTGACCTATAACGGTTATATTAGGAGATATATCTGACCTATAACAGATGTATTAGGAGATATATCTGACCTATAACAGATATATAAGGAGATCTATCTGACCTATAACAGATATATTAGGAGATATATCAGACATATAACAGATATATTAGGAGATGTATCTGACCTATAACAGATATATTAGAGATATATCTCACCTATAACAGATATATTAGAGATATATCTGACATATAACAGATATATTATGAGATATATCTGACCTATAACAGATATATTAGGTGATATATCTGACCTATAACAGGTATATTAGGAGATACATCTGACCTATAACAGATATATAAGGAGATATAACAGATGTATTAGGAGATATATCTGATAACAGATGTTTTAGGAGATATATCTGACCTATAACAGATATATATGACATATAACCGATATATTAGGAGATATATCAGACCTATAACAGATATATAAGGAGATATATCAGACATATAACAGATATATTAGGAGATGTATCTGACCTATAACAGATATATTAGGAGATATATTTGACCTATAACAGATATATTAGGAGATATATCTGGCCTATAACAGATATATTAGGAGATATATCTGACCTAAAACAGATATATAATGAGATATAGCTGACATATAACAGATTATTAGGAGATATATCAGACCTACAACAGATATATAATGAGATATATCTGACCTATAACAGATATACTAGAGATTAGGAGATATATCTGACCTAAGCCAGATATATTAGAGATATATCTGATCTATAACAGGTATATTAGGAGATATATCTGACCTATAACAGATATATTAAGAGATATATCTGACCTATAACAGATATATAAGGAGATATAACAGATGTATTAGGAGATATATCTGATAACAGATGTTTTAGGAGATATATCTGACCTATAACAGATATATTAAGAGATATATCTGACCTATAACAGATATATAAGGAGATATTTCAGACATATAACAGATATATAAGGAGATATATCTGACCTATAAAAGATATATTAGAGATATATCTGACCTATAACAGATATATTAGGATGACCTATAACAGATATATTAGGAGATATATCTGGCCTATAACAGATATATTAGGAGATATATCTGACCTATAACAGGTATATTAGGAGATACATCTGACCTTTAACAAATATATAAGGAGATATAACAGATGTTTTAGGAGATATATCTGACCTATAACAGATATATTAGAGATATATCTGACCTATAACAGATATATTAGAGATATATCTGACCTATAACAGATATATTAGGAGATACATCTGACCTATAACAGATATATCTGACCTATAACAGATATATTAGGAGAAACAACAGATATATTAGAGATATATCTGACCTATAACAGATATATTAGGAGATATATCTGACCTTTAACAGATATATTAGGAGATACATCTGACCTATAACAGATATATCTGACCTATAACAGATATATTAGGAGAAACAACAGATATATTAGGAGATACATCTGACCTATAACAAATATATTAGAGATATATCTGATCTATAACAGATATATTAGGAGATATATCTGACCTATAACAGATATATTAGGAGATATATCAGACATATAACAGATATATTAGGGGAGATATCAGACATATAACAGATATATTAGAGATATATCAGACCTATAAATATATTAGGAGATATATCTGACCTATAACCGATATATTAGGAGATATATCTGACCTATAACCGATATATTAGGAGATATATCTGACCTATAACAGGTATATAAGGAGATATATCTGACCTATAACAGATATGGGAGATATATCTGACCTATAACAGATAATTATGTTAGGAGATAAATCTGACCTATAACAGATATATGAGGAGATATATATCTGACCTATAACAGATATATTAGTAGATATATCTGACCTATAACAGATATATTAGGGGATATATCTGACCTATAACAGATATATTACGAGATATATATCTGACCTATAACAGATATATTAGAGATATATCTGATCTATAACAGATATCTTAGGAGCTATATCTGACCTATAACAGATGTATTAGGAGATATATCAGACATATTACAGATATATTAGGAGATAAATCAGACATATAACAGATATATTAGGGGAGATATCAGACATATAACAGATATATTAGAGATAGATCAGACCTATAACAGATATATTAGGAAATATATCTGACCTAACAGATATATCAGACATATAACAGATATATTAAGGGAGATATCAGACATATAACCGATATATTAGAGATATATCAGACCTATATAAGAGATATTAGGAAATAGATCTGACCTATAACAGATATATTAGAGATATATCTGACCTATCACAGATATATTAGGAGATAAATCTGACCTATAACGGATATATTAGGAGATATATCTGACCTATAACAGATATAGGAGATATATCTGACCTATAACAGATATGGGAGATATATCTGACCTATAACAGATAATTATGTTATGAGATATATATCTGACCTATAACAGATATATTAGTAGATACAACAGATATATTAGAGATATATCTAACCTATAACGGATATATTAGGAGATATATCTGACCTATAATAGGTATATTAGGAGATATATCTGACCTATAACAGATAATTATGTTATGAGATATATATCTGACCTATAACAGATATATTAGTAGATATATCTGACCTATAACAGATATATTAGAGATATATCTGATCTATAACAGATATCTTAGGAGCTATATCTGACCTATAACAGATGTATTAGGAGATATATCAGACATATTACAGATATATAACAGGTATATTAGGAGATACATCTGACCTATAACAGATATATTAGGAGAAATATCTGACCTATAACAGGTATATTAGGAGATATATCTGACCTATAAGAGATATATTAGGAGATACATCTGACCTATAAAAGATATATCTGACCTATAACAGATATATTACGAGATATATATCTGACCTATAACAGATATATTAGGGGAGATATCAGACATATAACAGATATATTAGAGATATATTAGACCTATATAAGAGATATTAGGAAATATATCTGACCTATAACAGATATATTAGTAGATATATCTGACCTATAACAGATATATTACGAGATATATATCTGACCTATAACAGATATATTAGAGATATATCTGATCTATAACAGATATATTAGGAGATATATCTGACCTATAACAGATATAGGAGATATATCTGACCTATAACAGATAATTATGTTAGGAGATAAATCTGACCTATAACAGATATATTAGGAGATATATATCTGACCTATAACAGATATATTAGGAGATATATCAGACATATAACAGATATATTAGGAGATATATCTTACCTATAACAGATATATTAGGAGATATATATCTGACCTATAACAGATATATTAGAGATATATCTGACCTATAACAGATATATAAGGAGATATATCTGACCTATAACAGATATATTAGGGGAGATATCAGACATATAACAGATAAATTAGGGGAGATATCAGACATATAACAGATAAATTAGGGGAGATATCAGCTATAACAGATATATTAGAGATATATCTGACCTATAACAGATATATTAGTAGAAACAACAGATATATTAGGAGATACATCTGACCTATAACCGATATATTAGGAGATATATCAGACCTATAACAGATATATTAGGAGATATAACAGATGTATTAGGAGATATATCTGACCTATAACAGATAATTATGTTAGGAGATAAATCTGACCTATAACAGATATATTAGGAGATATAACAGATGTATTAGGAGATATATCTGACCTATAACAGATATATTAGGAGATATATCTGACCTATAACATATATTAGAGATATATCAGACATATAACAGATATATTAGGAGATATATCTGACCTATAACAGATATTGTTTTTCTTTACCCTGTGAATAAGCACTTTTAATAAAAGCTTTACATTTTCTTGATAATAGTGGTTGATTTAAAACTTGCGTTTTACAGTTTTTGTTTTACCGTCACAAGAAATGATAAACTTCATTGTACCACTTTGTTTCTTGACTAAAATAAGTTTATTCATTATGGTTAGTTTTGAAAGTTTGACAAATTTTACTTGAATACCATAGTACAAAAATTTCCAGAATTGTAATGCTAGCCTTAATCTTCTGACACACACAATTACACAATTCAAATCTTGTGGAGTCTTTTTAATATTGGTACATTCAGTCACGTCAACAATAAAAAGACCACTACATTTTACGGTATAACATTTTATTGCACAGTAGTATAAGCTTTCCATTGTCTGGTTACATGTTGCTGTTGATCCAGGAAAGGTACTTGCTGACCCGGACATACACACTGGGAAAGCCCTCACATGTGGTGATCCCCCAGGACGTGGCTCCAGCTAGGGCGTACTTCCCATCAACCCGACATACTAGGGGGCCACCGGAATCTCCCTGTAAGGAAATACACGCCAGGCTATATATTGTAATGTAGCACAGGGTATTAAATCCAGGGGTTACCTCACTTTCGACCTCTGCACCCCTTGAATATGTCATAGCAAAATTGAAGGCACTTTGCTAGCTATTTGATTGGTGTCAGGTAGAAAAATCTGACCAATCACTAGGTTGATTCTTGTCCTTTGAAGGTAACAGAGGAGCGACGCCCGACCTCAAAGAAAATAAGTTTTACCGTTACGCGACCGCGAGATTATTTTGGTGTACATCAAAGGATCAAACTAGTCTTCTCGTCTCATTCGCAAGACGGTGCACACCGAGCCTTCGATTTTGCTACGACATATTCCATGGGTGCAGTGAGCGTAACCTCTGGATATCGATGATGCAAAAAGGATTTCATCTATACATGTGAAATAGTGAAATTATTTACTATTGATATAATAAAAAGAAAACAAATACTCATTATGCATTCTACAAGAGAAAAAAAGACGCTATTCGTTAGCATTTCTTTGAGAGTTTTTTTATGATTTCCTGATGTAGAACATATTAATTTGGGTTATCTGGCTATTTTATGAATGTTACATCGGTCTAAACTATTTTGTATGTGTTATCCTATTTTTTTAATCTAAAGTAGGAGATGTACGTACACTACATGCGGATTTGCCTTGGGCCTCTATACAGATGTGTGTGTCGTAGATACTAGCCCCCGACACCTGGGACCAACTCTGTTCACAGTCACCGTTACTGATCACTTCCATCCGGGCCTCCATAAGAACTTCGGCCGTGCCACTGTTAGCTGTCAACATTATGAAATATTTGCAGACACATATATATTGAACATTACGATTGAAATATATATCTAAAATCGACGGAGTCGTGACCAGGATATAACATAGTCCAATGACATATATTTGCGGAGATGGTCATTGATATCGTAATGTTAGACGAATATCGGGGCCGTGCCCAGGATATAACAATACCATAAATAAAATGGAAATGTGCTTGAGACAGATACCCTGATGGAATTTGAATTAACTACTAAAATATCAAGAAAATTACTACTTCAAAGTGCTGTCAGAATTTTGCCTTGCTATTTTTTTAAACAGAATACCATCGAATCATATCTTTTTTTTAAAAAGGATAAGAATTTACTTTAAATTTTGTAAGTTCTGAATTTCCTTGTAAGTGTTTTCTTACCATCAGTTTTCCCCCATCCAGTGATCCAACAGTCGGGGTTGTCAAGGAAACTCATGTTCTCGCCTGGCAGTTGAACAATTTGGGCAGTCTTGTCTGCAGTACTCACTGACCGAGACAGTCTCAAGACGGCGATGTCGTTAGGGAATCCAGCACCTGAATTGTCGTACTGCGGATGCTGTAAACCAAAAGCATCAAGCAACCGAACTGTTGAAACAAATACAACGATGTACAGTAGGAGGTCAAAAGACTTTCAGGTCACTTCATTTTCCCCATTAGCTTCTATTTTTATTTACTTTTCGAAAATTAGTTTTCCTGACTTCGTTTTTAGTCAACAATTTATAAAAATTGGCACATAGCTAGAAAATATGTAGCGTTTCTATTGGTAACATTTCACTTCATTACCCTTTCATAGAATTATTACCAAACAATTTTACGGCAAAATTTAACATTGTGTATACGGGAACGACGTCAAAGCATAATGTTTATGCTGGGATGAAATGTGATATCTCAACAACAGAGTCAATACTATAAATATTACCACAAGAAACACGGGATGATTCTCTAATAGAATATCAAGTTTTATTCAAATTGGATATTAAACGAAGTCACGAAAATAATTTGAAAAAAGAAGTAAATTAACAAAGAATCTGATTGGAAACTGACTTCGTATTTTGGCTGTACTTATTAGCGGCTAGCTATAAATGTGCTGGCAACTTGGTCTCATATTAATTGTTTGGATATACTTTCACCTGTCATGAGTTCGTTTGAGGAGAATATGAAATCAATACCTGAAATTAGTTTTTACCTGTATGGAATCTGTTACGCGTTATCTAGTGAAGGTTTTCCGTACTCTACCAAAAACTCTAACTTTGCATTATTATAGCTCGATAGGTCATTTTTGAAGAAAGAAAGATAAAATACCCACAAAAAAAAAAAATAAAAAAATAAAAAAAATATATACTTTTATAGAAAAATAATCAAGTTGAAATGAACAAGAAGAAATCAAGAACAGTGTTCTGAGTGTAAAATATGCAACAGCGCCAGACCAGGTTTCGAACCCTGGGCCTCAGAATTATACTGTCGTCTCAACCGTAGTACGTATACCCTGGTCATCAAATCGCGCTACATTATATCCAACACGAAATTAAGGGGAGATTATTGTATTACGAAAAACTACCATGGAATTCTCTAGTGATTAGCATGTAGTGGGAAAGATATGAAAAAAACCTCGAATAACTAAGTCGAAGAGGCAAATCTGAAAAAGTCTATGGATGTTTTTTGTGATGACACTCAATATCCCTGAAAGTTTTGTAACCCACACAGTAAGCTTTGATATTCACCGTGCGCGCGTGGATATTTACGGTCTGTGATAGCAATGTAACAATCTTAGCACAAGCAATACATTAGATTTTTAGCAGCGCTATTATACCATAAAAAATAAATTTTCCTTTCATATGAGACGTAATTAAATTTCAAGAATTGATACAAATAACATTTTCAAAACATGGGCAAGTTTTTGACGTCATCATTTTCAGATCTATGGTCTATGTCTGTTTTGCTGATTATGATGTAATACTCTTTAACCGATCTTAATCACTTTTTGCATACGTCATTACTCATTTTTTACATAACTCATACAACACGGACTTACTGACTTTATACCGCTAATATTTACAGGTACATCGTATGTAGACTTACCATTATGATGCGAGATACCGGTACTGTCTGAGATCCTGATGTAGACCCCTGGCGGTGAAGACCTGCCACCACAGTCACCGACGACGGACTACAATGAAAAAGAAACCACATTTTTTACTTGAGCATTTCTGTATAGAGTCAATTGGAGCTGGTGAGATGTTGGTATGGTCGAACTATTCCTGACGAGGCGCACAGAAGCGATTGTATAAACGCATGCCCAGTGAGCATTTACAAAAGTACATGCGAATGTATATGATCAACCCTACGATATACTTATGGAATTGCGCTGAGCATGCAACCTTTTTCAAAATTGACGAAACACCTAAAAAATACTCGAGATGTTTGATTGATTTGATCTGATTTTGATGGTTTTACAGTCGCTATTACGACCTTTCGCCCTTTCAATTGACGAGAAAAAGAATGAGCAAAGGAGATATATGTAGGGAAAGAGAAGAAATGGAGAAGGTAGGAATGTCCAGATATTTGATCTTATACATCTGAATGTTTAAGACAAACGACGTACCTGGTTCCATCAACGCAGTGCGCAGCCGTCAACACAACATCAGGGGCTATGAGAGATCCGCCGCAGAAGTTGGATGGAGGGAGGAAGAAGACGGAACGACTCTGTAGTGACACTTGCCACGGCCACTCGTTAGGATCCGCCTGGGCCCCGCCTACTATACGGCTACTGGGCACCGCCCCTGTATCAGAAACAAGAAATAACCTTACGGCGAAACATTCAGGGAAATTTCGCATCCACATTTCTATTGTTTTCCATTATTTAGGTATCTATATGATGTACCATTTAGTCCACTTCGCTTACAGTAAAAATATAATGTCGTGATATGGAGATGAAACACAAGCCGGAATTACGTGCTGAAGGTTACCAAGGCGGAATACAAGGCTCCGGTATTATCCACGTAGTTATCTATTTAAAACTAGAATCCTGTTTTCTTTTCGCTCATTTTATTATTCCATACATGCAGATGTACCTATTGTTAATATTTCATCAAAATTTGACAGAAAAGTATTTTTATATACATTTGAAATATTAGGTTTTCCTAATGTCTAGTAATATGCGACAACACCTTTTTTTTATCTGAGAAATAAGAAAAAAAGCTTGCAAGAAGTCGTGTTAATAAGTAATAATCAACTTACCCGCCATCACCGTCACTCCAGCTAAAAGGATAAGCACGTTAACCCTCATTGTGTCTTATGACCAGGTATCGTCCAGTAGTGGTCAGTGGCCCCAGGCCTGTTATATACCCAGGGAGACTGACCAGTGATTTATTACTCTATCACGACACTGGACACAGAGAGGACACACATGGTCAGTTCTCAGATCGTTGAGAATGTTATTGGATAAACTGACTTTGATGTGTATGCTGCTCCTACTGTATACCATTACACAAGACACGATCTAAACAATTACAGCCAGTTTATAACCGTCTCACGTAGTGGTTAATCTCGGAAACGGAGGACACGGGTGTTTTCGATTGTTTTCTGTGTCTTATTATAACGTTGAAGAGAATAAAACTTACATAACAAATTATTAGATTTTGTAATAATTCAAAGTTTATCATTTCATTGTTGTATAATGTATCTGCTGATGTCCTAAGTAAAAGCTGTTCGCAACATTTGATAATGATTTCTACGCTGGGTGGGGTTCATGTGAGATTGTGAATATTGAAAAAAATAATTAAATGAAGAATAAGAAAAATGGCAGTTCAGCAAGGAATTTAAGAAATCCAGCAACAAATTTAAACATGTCAAGGATTTGGTTTCTATGGTCAGAAATGATATAATAAGTTAGTCGGACATGTTGGACAAAAGTTAATACGTCCACGTGACGGCTCATTACTAAATACTAGGGCTCCCAGCTGTATAATGGCTACTCCGTTGGCTTTCTGTGTCGTTTATATCAAAGTTTTAAAAAAAATCGGATACTAAAAGTTGAATGTCCTTTTACCGCTAGATGTCTTTTTTTCGATCATCATATATTTCATTGTTAGCGGAAATTGTATATTGTGCCATTGAGCTAGTCAGGGCAACAACCGGACATTTAGAGTATATCTAATGTAGAATTCGGTCACATTTCTTTTTGTTTTACCTTTCCCCTCTTATTTATTTATTAGCTAGTTTGACGCCATATTTTTACGTCTAGACAGATTAAGTTGGCCTAACAATCGGGTCCTCAAAAGATGAAGTACGTTTTTTTTAAACCAAAAATAAATTGTTGCATTTTAACGGTTAGACATCTTATGTAGATAAACAAGATTTTTTTACGTGACATTACAATAATGACAATAATTATGTACATACAATTTGAGCTCAACATTTCTTGCTGGATTTAATAAAGTTATGCCCAATTCTTAAAATGTTTGTGTTAAGCCCACAGAAAAATTGTGAATTGTCGCACAAAAATATTTCTAAATTTAACGCTACATTCAAATTATTTAGATTTTGAACCAGATTATGTCTTTCGTTTGTAAAAAGGTGACATTCCAAAAAGTAGTGAAAGACATTCTCATAAGGATGACCACAATTACAAGCTTCAATTTAATAATAGTTACTTTCATATTCCTCTGGTTAACCTGATGTCGAAATCATTTGACCGAATCAAGTGCCATTCTACTGTGTCATGGTTAGGCCACTTCGGCGAGGTGGCACTTAAAAGTGGTCAGTGAGTGGCACTCTTTTAGTATCCCATTATCATTTACCGTGGACGCAAGTCCCTCAACAAAGTAATAAGAGTTAATAATATCTCAAGACTCTTGAATTGGTGAAGCGTCACACATCGCAAATAACCACGAATTTACCACATATCCTTTATTATTACACGTTCTTTACAATGTACACAGTTTCAATCACTATACAGTAATATAATTTGTTGACTGTTTTAGTTCGTGCAATACACTAGATGCACGCCAAATGTGACGTCACATATTTTGTCAAATCACAATACATTGTTACGTCATAAATATGCCAGAGTCAGATCAATTATGACGTCATAGATACACTTTAGTTCATAGCAACATAGAAACCTCCGAAAGCTGTTCATTATTAGTCTGTGACCGAAGCTATGCAAAATGGGAATTAATAGTTCGGCATTCATTCGATATACCCCTCCTCACCTGTTCTCGAATTTGAACTGCACAGCACTGCGTCGTCCGCTTAAATCAAGGGACAGCATTTACAACTACAAACCGGCAAACAAGGAGGCCGAGAAATATTACGAGGCTTACATCAAAACTCGTTCATTGATACTACAGGCTGAGCGGATGGAGAGGGAAGCAAAGCGGATGAGCGGGAAAGAGGCTAGGGAACTGAAGCGCGAGGCCAATCAGATTAGGATAGACGCGAAGGCAATGCTAAACAATGTTGGCAAGTTATGGGACAAAGCCGAAAATAAGAATGTTACTCCAGAAACAAATACTTTAAATTCTGGTCAGAGAGAAAAAATTGAGAAATCGAAAAGGAAAACTAAAACTCTGAAAGACAATTCTAATGTTCTTCTGGCTCCAGTTCCGAAAGTCAGCGAGGAATCAAAAAAGGCCGATGAGATATATAACAGAGCTATAGCAGTAATAGAGGAGTCTCAGCACATGATGTGGGAGTCTAATTTGCTGGGTGGAATGGAAGCCAGACTTCTGAGAGAAGAAGCCAAGCAACTAAAACAATATGCAGAGGAAACAATGAAAAAGATGGGTCGTTACTGTCTTGCTGCTGAGGAACAGCGACGCTTTCAGATACAAGAACAAGAAAAGGACGAAAAGGACGCGAACACAAAAAGCAGGACAAAATCAAAGATCATCAAGAAACGCAAGAGGAAATCCTCGAAAGATATCAAATGAAATAGATGCTTGCGTTGCCAGCAATATGGGGATTGTGATTTATCATAGACTGTGATTAAATTGGTTTTGACATTTGCTTTCTTCATTAATTTTACATGTTCTTCACTATTAAATCAAATAATATGTGATATTGATTTGCATTATCAATTTGTTCATGACGTACAAAGCTAAGATAACATTTTATTGTTCCTCTCGCAGATTGCTGTCCGTGTGCGCATGTTGAACCAAACTTACTCAAAGATCTTTATAAAACAATTGGTTCACCGAGTGCCGCAAAATTACACGTCGAAATTGTCGTCAATATAAGAAACAGTAAATTGGTTGTTTGCTGATAGTTAATAATTTTACTACGCCTTCTGTAAGCCTACGTCATCTTCGAGAAAGTAGAGAAATTCCCTGATTTTGTTTTAACAATTATTGAAATGTTTTGGAGCGCTTTCCATTTAGTAATCTCAAGAAATGTTAAAAGGACAGATAGCAAAGCCTACTCCACAACTAATTCTGTATCTCCAATCTTGTACATCAGTAAGTCATATTCCATGAACTCACTATTTAGACCAATTGTATTCGTTTTGCATACAAACGATCTGCAAAATAACATAATTTCTATCCGTTACGCCTTTTGCTGTAATTACCAACATGAACAAAGTAATACGGGCAACTGAAAATGTTAATACACTGCATCATTCGGATATGGTAGAAAAATCGTGACCAAGGAGGCACATTTGGTAAGCGCGTATAAAACATATTCAAAGACCTTTGTCATTAATTGTATAAAATGAAATTTGAATATTTATACACTGTAACTTGGGAGGATGGGAAGTAGAACAATACAATTCATGAGAAAGACATTGAAATGAATATCACATAAAAGCTTGGGTAAAAAAGACGGATACCATCCGATACAGTATATGGATACTACATAGTAGTATATATCATAAGTGGATTCGTTGTTCGACAGCCCTTTCCGAATAATGTAATTAAATTGATTAATTTTCGTTCATCCATTTGCAATAATATCATCACCTCAAGTCGTTTCCAATATTAATTCTTTAATTCTCATATGAATTTACTATGTCTAAAATCACGCCTCAGTCACCCGGATTTGTTTGAATACTCAATATTTTGATGGTGTGTTGAAATATTTGCAATGATAAGTACAGTGTATAAGATGAAACGGTCATAATGTGATCAACCCATATCAGCCCTCTTGCCCTTGGCCCTTCGCGCTGATATGGGGGCCTCGCAGGGTATGGTATGGAAAAGGTCATATGGTAACCTTTAGTTGTTATATCTGTGCTGTTCCTCATTCTTAACGTATAGGGTTCCAAATGAACACTTCGGAAATCTGTATTAGTATAGGGGTGATTAGTGGTTCGCTCATATACATTGTAATCTGGGTTTGAACTAGGCTCCGATCTACTATTAATAATTTAAACTAAAATAAGCGAGAAGTAGATTGAATCGCAAAGTCATGTTTAAAATTAAGACCTTAATCCTGATATTTCTAATTAACATAATTTAGCTACAGAAACTACGTAGTATACTTAATATGCATTGTTCATAGGTAAGAGACTGCCGCTCAAGACGCTTTAAAACGATGTGGGGGGGGGGGGGGGGGGGCAGAAAATAATCCAAAACATCAATATAACAAAATGAATATAAAAATAAAGATGTTAAGATACAAATGTAAAACAATGCTAGTCAAAGGATCAATTGTTCAAAGAGGAAGCAATCAAAACACTACGCCAAAGCTTGAGCCATTTTGTCCCAGAACACAGCGTTACCCTGGGCGTCACCAGGATATTCAAGGTAGCTTTCAGTGTCAATCAGCTCCATCAGGGTGAGAGGAAGTTCCTTTGGCCTGACAGATCTGTAGAACACAAGGAGAAGAACGTTTGTACCATCTCTGGAGTAGATTCCCTCCATCCGTGCCATGTTAAACTCGAACATGCACCATTAGGAGCGGAGAAAGTCCGGTGATAAAATCACCACAGTCCTACGACTGTTGTGAATGGCATTTGTTACATTTCCGGCTATGTCTCTACCGGGAATGAAATCACGCTTGTGTAGACAGATGTTTAACTGGTTGATTTCCTCCATATTTCTGAGAAGATCACCAGTTACGAAGTCGGAGTCCTCCTCGGCGTGGGATAGGAACGCATCGTAGGTATAGACTAATATGTCCTGGCAGTTTCTGACATGGTCATTTAGGACGAATTTATTCTTTGTCATGTAATAAACATAGCGTAGTGTCCACCTGTAACGGTAACCAAGACCTCCTACAACTACTGACACACTGAGAACAATGGCCGTAACCACGTAACTAGCACAATCTCGTTCCATTTCTATCAATGAAGTACCGAGGTTGCAAAACAAAACCTTTGTCCCATTATTTAAGGTACATTTGTAATGCTCAAATCTTGAAAACATGTGCTTGTTTGTCATCATCCACCGGAGAAATTCCAGTCTCTCACATGAACACTGAAGTGGATTGTTCCACATATCGATTGTAAACATTATTTCTGTGTATAGAAACTACATTATTACTTCTGTGTATAAATACTACATTATCGATACTACCTTATCATTTCTGTGTAAAGATACTACACTATTATTTCTGTGTAAAAGTACTACATTATTATTTCTGTGTATAGATACTACTTAATTATTTATGTATATAGATACTACATTATTATTTCTGTATATAGATACTACATCATTATTTCTGTATATAGATACTACATTATCATTTCTGTGAATAGATACTACACTATTATTTCTGTGTATATAAATACTACATTATTATTTCTGTGAATAGATACTACATTATTATTTCTGTATATGGTACTACATTTTTATTTCTGTATATAGATACTACAGTATTATTTCTTTAATAGAAACTACATTATTATTTCTGTATATAGATACTACCTTATTATTTCTGTATATAGATACTACATTATTATTTCTGTATATAGAAACTACATCATTATTTCCATGTGTAGGAACTACATTATTATTTCTGTATATGGTACTACACTATTATTTCTGTATGTAGATACTACATTATTATTTCTTTTAACAAATACTACATTATTATTTCTGTGAATAGATACTACATTATTATTTCTTTTAACAGACACTATATTAATATTTCTGTGTATAGATACTACATTATTATTTCTGTATGAAGATACTACCATATTATTTCTGTATATGGTACTGCTCTATTATTTCTGTATGTAGATACTACAGTATTATTTCTTTAATAGAAACTACATTATTATTTCTGTATATGGTACTACACTATTATTTCTGTATATAGGTACTACATTATTATTTCTTTTAACAGACACTACATTATTATTTCTGTATGTAGAAACTACATCATTATTTCCGTGTGTAGTAACTACATTATTATTTCCGTATATAGATACTACATTATTATTTCTGGATATAGATACTACATTATTATTTCCGTATATAGATACTACATTATTATTTCCGTATATAGATACTACATTATTATTTCTGGATATAGATACTACATTATTATTTCCGTATATAGATACTACATTATTATTTCTTTTAACAGACACTACATTATTATTTCTGTATATGGTACTACATTTTTATTTCTGTATATAGATACTACCTTATTATTTCTGTATATAGATACTGCATTATTATTTCTGTATATAGATACTACATTATTATTTCTTTTAACAAACACTACATTATTATTTCTGTATATAGATACTACCATATTATTTCTGTATATGGTACTACACTATTATTTCTGTATGTAGATACTACATTATTATTTCTTTTAACAAACACTACATTATTATTTCTGTGTATATACACTACAGTATCAGTTTTGTGTATAGACACTTCATTCTTATTTCTGTGTATAGAAACTACAGTATTATTTCTGTGTTTATATACTACATTATTTTTTCTGTGTATAAACACTACATTAATATTTATTATAACAAATACTTCATTATAATTTCTTGATATAAACAATACATTATTTGTTGTATAGAAATTGTTCTATTATTTGTTTTGATATATCATTGATACGTTACCATGTATAGAAATTGTACTATTATTTGTTTTTATATATCATTGATACGTCACCATGTGTAGATATTACATTATTATTTGTTTTGATATATCATTGATAAGTTATCATGTATAGATATTACATTATTATTTGTTTTGATATATCATTGATACGTTACCATGTATAGAAATTATATTATTATTTGCATCGATACGTTACCATGTTAGTTGTCAATTGTAGTGCCATTTAAAATGACTTTATTTAGCATTTCATACAAATTGCTAGTTAAGATCAATGTTAGTAACAAGATATGTAAAATCTGCTAGAAGTCAGTTTATGTAATCAGAACCGTTTCCATGAGAAATACAGTTTAAAAGACAAAGTTGTTGCATTGAAACTCTGGAAAAGGGTAAAACATGACGATAACACAACTTAATTTCTAAAATGATTTTATTTGACTGGATACCGATTGCTGGAAAAGAAAAGTTGTTCATATAAAAAACCATTGAATTGTTTTGTATCCTATCGTTTTATATGTATATATATATAACAAAAAACCGAGGAAAGATAATCTTATGTTATTATCTCTAAGCCCATGATATATAATTAACTTTAAATATATCTATCCTTACAAGAAATGTTCAATTAGAATATTAAAAAAAGTATTTTAAGTATGTTCTAATGTGATAATAAAGAACAATAAATGCAGAATATGATCTGAAAACAGTACGTGCATTTCCATGTTCTACTTTACTGTTTCAATGATAGCAGAGACCTACCGGTGGTGAAAGTAAACACTTATGATGTCGGTGCAGGTGGCTGCATAGCTGCCATCTGTATAATTAGTATAATATAATATATTTAATAATATTAGTGATGTATCAAACACGCTTCTATGTATCAAACGATTATTGTATCGTTAAATAGCACAAACAATGTTTCGTTCCAACCGTACCTTGAACGATAGTCTCATCGATGTTTCAATGATATTAATGAGAAACACGCATACTATTCTATATTAAAAATGTTGTTATCAGATATGTTATAATATTTAGAAAATAAAGAGTGTCATCGTACCTTGGAAACTTCAATAATAGTCAAGTGGTCATCATCTAAAGGAGATAATAAAATAATAATTAAGACAGTAGTCACTATCTGAAAATGAGGAATAAAATATTAACGAGGACAGAAGTCGCTGTGAAAGTAAGGAATAAGAAAATAATAAAGACAGTAGTCTCAGTCCTAGTGAGGAATAAAATATTAATAAATACAGAAGCCACAATCCAAGTGAGGAGGTAACACATTGATCAATAAATATCAACAGGTCATCAACTGAGAGAGAAAACGAAGCATGCTTATGTAACAGTCGAACCTTTCCGGAGTAACGATAGACGGTATTTGAGAGTTACCTCGATGACATTTGCTTCGAACCTTTCCGGAGTAACGATAGACGGTATTTAAGAGTTACATCGATGACGTTTGATTAGAACCTTTCCGGAGTAACAATAGACGGTATTTAAGAGTTACCTTAATGACATTTGATTAGAACCTTTCCGGGGTAACGATAGACGGTATTTAAGAGTTAACTCGATTACACCTGATTCGAACCTTTCCGGAGTAACAATAAACGGTATATAAGAGTTACCTCAATGACATTTGATTAGAACCTTTCCGGGGTAACGATAGACGGTATTTAAGAGTTAACTCGATAACATTTGATTCGAACCTTTCCGGAGTAACAATAGACGGTATATAAGAGTTAACTCGATAACATTTGATTCGAACCTTTCCGGAGTAACGATAGACGGTATTTAAGAGTTACCTCGATAACATTTGATTAGAACCTTTCCGGAGTAACGATAGACGGTATTTTAGAGTTACCTCGATGACATTTGATTCGAACCTTTCCGGAATAACAATAGACGGTAAATAAGAGTTACCTCGATGACATTTGATTCGAACATTTCCGGAGTAAAAATAAACGGTATTTAAGAGTTACCTCAATGACATTTGATTAGAACCTTTCCGGGGTAACGATAGACGGTATTTAAGAGTTAACTCGATAACATTTGATTCGAACCTTTCCGGAGTAACAATAAACGGTATATAAGAGTTACCTCAATGACATTTGATTAGAACCTTTCCGGGGTAACGATAGACGGTATTTAAGAGTTAACTCGATTACACCTGATTCGAACCTTTCCGGAGTAACAATAGACGGTAAATAAGAGTTACCTCGATGACATTTGATTAGAACCTTTCCGGAGTAACAATAGACGGTATTTAAGATTTACCTCGATGACATTTGATTCGAACCTTTCCGGAATAACAATAGACGGTAAATAAGAGTTACCTCGATGACATTTGATTAGAACCTTTCCGGAGTAACGATAGACGGTATTTAAGAGTGACCTCGATGACATTTGATTCGAACCTTTCCGGAATAACAATAGACGGTAAATAAGAGTTACCTCGATGACATTTGATTAGAACCTTTCCGGAGTAACGATAGACGGTATTTAAGAGTTACATCGATGACATTTGATTAGAACCTTTCCGGAGTAACAATAGACGGTATTTAAGAGTTACCTCGATGACATTTGATTCGAACCTTTCCGGAGTAACAATAAACGGTATTTAAGGATTACCTAGATGACTTTTGTATGTAACATCAATATTTTTAAGAAATATTAAAAAAATTAAAACTTATTATTTCTTTTTATTTTGTGGATTTAAATTTGATATTTTTACAATATTTTAAACGAAATAATAACATTTCATAAAAATTCCGAAAGAAAAAATAAGACCGTTTGTGAAATAATTGATAGTAATACAAATAAAAATACTATTAACACAACGATGTTAAAGGAATGAAGGAAAGACGTTATAACGGAGACGTACGGTCATCATTATATTTGGTGTATAGTGGGCCCATCTGTGTAGCCCCAATCATTCCAGTGGTGGTGATCTGGGGGAAGATGTGATCAGCGTCAGCGCTGGTCCCGAACAGAGACGAGCTCCAGCCGTGCTCGAACTCGGCCTTATCCACCGAACCGTCACCTGCGATTGAATAAAGACCGATTTTATCCCGGATTGATGAACATATTGCATACCTCGGCAATTATTTTACTATCGGACATGTGTATTCACTTCTACTATCATACGAATCTGTATAGATACAGTAGTGATTCCTTGGCCATAACTACATGTATAACGAAGACTGGGGACCGCAACAAAAGTTGCAGCTTCAACGGGAATATCATGAAAATCTCGTTATTACAGTACATCCAAGACAGGCAATTTGAATATATTTTATGAAAAAGATAATAGTATCCTCATAAGTTTAGATGTGCATCATCTATATTTATGGTAGATAAATAACAAAGTATGTTGAAATCTTTTGTACACTTACTGTTAAAGTCGAAGGAGTTGAAGAAGCCATTGAATTCTGTGGCTGTCAATTGGTTGTTGTGATCCTTGTCCGCACGCTCGTACAGTACAGCGAATGGCGTTTCCTGGATTATCTGGGGTAAGAGTAGATGTTGAAATCGTTAAACCGAAATATCTGAAAAAATTATATCATTTTCTCACCTGTTAAAATAAAGCGTCATGCTTAAAAGAAAATCGAAGGCAATAATTATAAACATGCCCATTAAACAAAGGATTGTATGTTTAAAACTCTTCCGACAAAAAAACTGATGTCCTATTTTACAATAGAAAACTACATATGTCTGTTACCTGGACCCATTTTGTGGCGAAGTTCTTTGCTGTTACCACTCCGGTGTCTGCAATACCAGATTACTTTATAATGTAGCAACATATATACATACATAAAACATGATTATAGACAACAAAAATCACATGGTCGCCCCCGATGGAGCTGTGAGCCCTTTACCAATATTATCATGTCAGCTAACGGAGATTATGTCTGTTACCGTTTAATTTAATAATCTCTGAATTTATATAGATCGAGGGAAACTGCGTCAGTAAATGCTTATTGAGCGACAGCATCCCTTGGATAACCACTGATACGCCTGTTTTGTGCTGACGGATACATTTGCTCAGTATTCTCTCGTTGCAACGCATAGTGAATACAGTAAGTGTTGAGACAAAACAACATTTCTCTCTTGTGACGTCATCAATCTGATTTGGACAAAATTGACATTGCTGCTCCAAAACTTGGCGAACTGACGTCAGGAGTAGGAAATGATAAAACGATAAGAAGAGGAATTACTATTTAAATGTATATCCAAAAAGTATTTTTAGTAACTGGTGTAGTGATCCTTTAGCACGCATGTCTATTTCGCTGACAAACTAAAATTACCTGCTGGATTTTACGTTTTTTTGTTGTTTTTTTTTTTTTTTTTATCTTTAAGCAATAGTATTGTATGGCACAGAACCACAGTAACATTTGCTAAAACATCCATTACTTAATCACGTACGGTCTATGTCGAAGACGTGGTACATAAGGCTGAGATCGTCAGAGTTGATGACATTGTCGTTGGTGAGGTCAGCCAAGTGGAAGAAGGCCTCGGCGTGTTCTTGGCTCTGGTGAGTCAACAGTTTCCATAGACCCGTGAACTCGGCCATCGTCACGTTGTGGTCCTCTGTAAAGGTGAGCAAACGTACGTGTTAACAACAAGTCAAGATATACAGCGTATACTCTGTAATACATGACACGGTAAGTTAGTAGGAAAACTACATTAAAGCCCTCAAATACAGCGTCCAGTTCATACAAATACACCTACTGTCAAGGTCAAAGCCCTCAAATACGGCGTCCGGTTCATACAAATACACCTACTATCAAGGTTAAAGCCTTCAAATACAGCGATCAAATCATACAAATACACCTACTGTCAAGGTCAAAGTCCTCAAATACGACGTACGGTTCATACAAACACACCTACTATGAAGGTCAAAACCCTCAAATACAACGTCCAGTCATACAAATACACTTACTGTTAAGGTCAAAACCCTCAAACACAGAGGTCAATTCTGGTTCAGAGATTATGCCATCAAAGTTTTTGTCTGCTTTCATGTACAGCACGTTGATGAGACCAAACATATCCAGGGGCCTAATGGAGATAAACATTTATAATAATAATAATTAATAATTGGAAGTTCTTATATACCGCTTTGTCACAACCTAGTTCGTAGGCCGTCTCAAAACGGTTCACAAATTATTTTCCTTGGTTATAGGGCCTTTGCAACCAGCCAATATCTTCCGGATCTGCCATTTCGGCGCTAACAGCTAGCATACAACAATTCTAGCACTGCCCAACCACGTGCTAATTTACAGCTGAGTAACAAGCGGAGTAAAGTATCTTGCTCAAAGATATAACTCATTGCCGTGCCGTGGCGCGAACCCGCAACCCTACGGTCACGAGCCCGGCGTCCTAGCACTAGACTGCCGTGCAACATACAGCTACATTTCACCTTGAGTATGTAATACTAGTTTCATTGATGCACAGCTGAACATATTAAAGGGATATTACCAACCGCTTTCGGTACTCTCAATTAAATTGAGGGAGAGCCTTACCCTGCCTGAGCAGACGCCACAGCTGCCAGGGTGGCGGCGAGGAAGATTTGGGTCAGCATTTCTACAATATATAACACATTAAAATAGAGATGGACAAATGGCAATGCACGACAAGTTATCAAGTGGGATCAATATTTGAGAAGGATTTAGATGTGATCGTTAACAACAAGAAACTGTCAAATGTTTTATGCTTTCTCCTGCAACAACTTTAAATTACATATTTACCAGCGGAATATTTATTATTTAACATTCAACACAATCTCACTTAATTAAACATTAAAACATTACACATAATCTTACATAATTTTACCACACAAATTTCTCACACAGTGTAGCATTCCCAACAATCTTCCGTAATTTTATATTACACAAAATTCTACATTATGCAACACCACACACAATCTTACATAAGGCAACATTACACACAATCCTACATAATGTAACATTACACACAATCCTACATAATGTAACATTACACACAATCCTACATAATGTAACATTACACACAATCCTACATAATGTAACATTACACACAATCCTACATAATGTAACATTACACACAATCCTACATAATGTAACATTACACACAATCCTACATAATGTAACATTACACACAATCCTACATAATGTAACATTACACACAATCCTACATAATGTAACATTACACACAATCCTACATAATGTAACATTACACACAATCCTACATAATGTAACATTACACACAATCCTACATAATGTAACATTACACACAATCCTACATAATGTAACATTACACACAATCCTACATAATGTAACATTACACACAATCCTACATAATGTAACATTACACACAATCCTACATAATGTAACATTACACACAATCCTACATAATGTAACATTACACACAATCCTACATAATGTAACATTACACACAATCCTACATAATGTAACATTACACACAATCCTACATAATGTAACATTACACACAATCCTACATAATGTAACATTACACACAATCCTACATAATGTAACATTACACACAATCCTACATAATGTAACATTACACACAATCCTACATAATGTAACATTACACACAATCCTACATAATGTAACATTACACACAATCCTACATAATGTAACATTACACACAATCCTACATAATGTAACATTACACACAATCCTACATAATGTAACATTACACACAATCCTACATAATGTAACATTACACACAATCCTACATAATGTAACATTACACACAATCCTACATAATGTAACATTACACACAATCCTACATAATGTAACATTACACACAATCCTACATAATGTAACATTACACACAATCCTACATAATGTAACATTACACACAATCTTACATAATGTAACATTACACACAATCCTACATAATGTAACATTACACACAATCCTACATAATGTAACATTACACACAATCCTACATAATGTAACATTACACACAATCCTACATAATGTAACATTACACACAATCCTACATAATGTAACATTACACACAATCCTACATAATGTAACATTACACACAATCCTACATAATGTAACATTACACACAATCCTACATAATGTAACATTACACACAATCCTACATAATGTAACATTACACACAATCCTACATAATGTAACATTACACACAATCCTACATAATGTAACATTACACACAATCCTACATAATGTAACATTACACACAATCCTACATAATGTAACATTACACACAATCCTACATAATGTAACATTACACACAATCCTACATAATGTAACATTACACACAATCCTACATAATGTAACATTACACACAATCCTACATAATGTAACATTACACACAATCCTACATAATGTAACATTACACACAATCCTACATAATGTAACATTACACACAATCCTACATAATGTAACATTACACACAATCCTACATAATGTAACATTACACACAATCCTACATAATGTAACATTACACACAATCCTACATAATGTAACATTACACACAATCCTACATAATGTAACATTACACACAATCCTACATAATGTAACATTACACACAATCCTACATAATGTAACATTACACACAATCCTACATAATGTAACATTACACACAATCCTACATAATGTAACATTACACACAATCCTACATAATGTAACATTACACACAATCCTACATAATGTAACATTACACACAATCCTACATAATGTAACATTACACACAATCCTACATAATGTAACATTACACACAATCCTACATAATGTAACATTACACACAATCCTACATAATGTAACATTACACACAATCCTACATAATGTAACATTACACACAATCCTACATAATGTAACATTACACACAATCCTACATAATGTAACATTACACACAATCCTACATAATGTAACATTACACACAATCCTACATAATGTAACATTACACACAATCCTACATAATGTAACATTACACACAATCCTACATAATGTAACATTACACACAATCCTACATAATGTAACATTACACACAATCCTACATAATGTAACATTACACACAATCCTACATAATGTAACATTACACACAATCCTACATAATGTAACATTACACACAATCCTACATAATGTAACATTACACACAATCCTACATAATGTAACATTACACACAATCCTACATAATGTAACATTACACACAATCCTACATAATGTAACATTACACACAATCCTACATAATGTAACATAACACACAATCCTACATAATGTAACATAACACACAATCTTACATAACGCAACATTACACACAATCTTACATAAGGCAACATTACACACAATCTTACATAATGCAACATTACACACAATCCTACATAATGTAACATAACACACAATCCTACATAATGTAACATAACACACAATCTTACATAAGGCAACATTACACACAATCTTACATAACGCAACATTACACACAATCTTACATAAGGCAACATTACACATTATCTTACATAGCGCAACATTACACACAATCTTACATAATGCAACACTACACACAATCCTACATAATGCAACATTACACATTATGATAAATTATTAGCATTAGTAAGAGACTTTAATTTTTCATACTTGTGAAAATACAAGAATTCTTTCTAAGGGGAGATAAATTACAGCCTTTGCGCCGCCGGTTATACCCTCAGATTTATAATACTGAATAACGTACTTTAAAAATGAAACAAATGTCAATTTCCCGACTGGCTTCCTTGTTTGACATGTGCAAGGAATGACAAAAAATGATATTTTAACACAACCCAAACTGATCACAGCTATACCAGTCCTAACCCAACCTATACTCATCACAGTTATACTAATTCTAACACAACTCATGCACATCATAGCTATACCGATTCTAACCAAACTCATACAAATCACAGCGATACCAATAATAATCCAACTTATACAGATCATAGCTATACCAATCCTTACCCAACTCATACAGATCACAGCTATACCGATCCTAACCAAACTCATACAGATCACAGCTATACCACTCCTTACCAAACTTATACAGATCATAGCTATACCAATACTTACCCAACTCATACAGATCACAGCTATACCGATCCTTACCCAACTCATACAGATCATAGCTATACCAATCCCTACACAACTCATACAGATCATAGCTATACCAATCCTAATCCAACCCATACTGATCACAGCCATACCAGTCCTAACCCAAACACTACTTATAACAGCTATACCAATCTTAACCCAACTCATACTGACCACAGCTATACCAGTTCTAGGCCAACCCATACTGATCACAGTTAAACCGACCCTAACCCAAACCATACTGACCATAGCTATACCAATCATTATTCAATCCATACTGATCACAGGTATACAAGTACTAGGCCAACCCATACTGATCACAGCTATACCAGTCCTTATACCCAACCTATACTGATCACAGCTATACCAGTCCTTATACCCAATCCATACTGATCACAGCTTTACCAGTCCTAACCCAACCCATACTGATCACAGCTATACCAGTCCTAGAACAACCCATACTGATCACAGCTATACCAGTCCCACCCCATAATGATCACAGCTATACCAGTCCTAGGACAACCCATACTTATCACTGCTATACTAATAATAGGGTTTTGTAAGTTATTGAAATCAATTTAATATTGTATATTAACTATCCTTCAAAATTTTAAATGGGATTGTTTAAAGAATTCAATTATGAATACAATATCTTTGACATTCTTCAAACATTATGAAATCATTCAGCACAGAACTTACCACGTCTTTGTTGAGCAGTATTGTAAGACTGAAAGAAAGATAAAAGGCCTAGGTCACGTGATTCCTTATCTGGAAGTGTCCTCTATGACCTTGGTGCAGTCAGTACGTATGCCTCTACCATGTAGTCATCGACTGTCGGTCAGCCATCATAGTTCCGAAAAAAACACACTTTGTTAATGCTAAGGTCAAGGACGTGCACTGTTGTAAAAAATGTAACTGTGACGTGTAACATGCAGGTGCCAAGGAAAGAGGTCACTGACGGTTACCGATTTTTTTCGAGTGTCAACTTTGCGTCACATCTTTTGTTTAATCGATTGGAAATTATAAAACGATACTTCTGCATCAAACCTTCAATGATCTTGTCATGACAGCAAAATAATGGCTTATGTTTGTATAGTTGCAATGAAGGTGGTCTGTTTGGAGTCAGTCTCGTGCGGGGTTCTATCACTATCACGGTCAATTATAGTGCTTTCCATTTGTGCTGACTTACTCCCGACAACCTAGTGCCTGTGAAACTGGTCTTGTAATTCTAGAAATTCGATTGTATCTCCTTGAAATAAATTAGCACGCCTGGCCAGATAGTTCTATTCCAAAAACAATAGGTTATTTTCGATTTTGTCGTTCCAGATTTATGACAGAACAATAGTTGAAAGGCTCTCAATGTACTTCTAGTGTTGGTAAGGTGTGAGAGAATGGCTTTTTTTTTCATTCCACCCTCAAAGTGCCTTCTCTTCTGTATACTAGTCAACATAATAAATACATGGCCTCGCTGGTTTGAACATGTATAGGCTCAAATATTAAACTATACAGTCTACTACTCCCCGGTCGTCTTTATCAGGACGTCATTGGATGCTTTCAATGATGGTGCTGTCACGATGTGTTTTGAGATTGTGTTCCACTTCGGAAACGTATCTCACAGAAAATAAGTTAATGCGGTATTTATTTGATCAAACTGATACACGTTGTTCATAGTGTAAGTCGTTCTGTTGCTGAACCGGACAGTTGGATCAGATATATACCTCTTTGATGACTGCGACTTCCACCTTCCCATGATGCCTTCGTCAGGACTGTAGTGAGGTGTGTCTGTCACTCCGGATGTCCGTCACACTGCAGTATTGTGACACTTGTGGGTAGTGTATCACACAGACGACGTTGGCCATTTAGTCAATGAAGACTACTGTGCTGATGTTAATACCAATATGTGTTATTTCCTCGACATGTTTAAGCTTATATCAATTGAGTTCAGGGGTATGGGTGTCCTGCCTTTATGTTTAGATAACTTGTCACTTACTAGCGTTAAATTCCGTCTGTCATCATTGTTTCCAGTCATTTAATCTCCTGAATACACCTGGAATCACTCTGCACAATAATGTACCATAAGCTGAATGTCTTTCCTCTTATTCGTTAGGGACCAAACATGATTGTGGTGTCTGTAAACAACCGCACAATCGATCTGATACTGTCAGAAATGTTCCTGAAGAAATGGAGGAATGCCATGGATGCTTCCGCGGAACCCCATCCTCGATACTCAATGGGTGACACACAATTTCGCTCTCTATACCCCCGGAATAGGTCATAGCAAATTCGAAGGCACGCGGCTAGCTATTTGATTGGTCTCAGGCCAAAAGAAATTACCAATCTCTAGGCTGATACCTGTCCTTTGAAGAATACAGAGGAGAGACACCCGACCTTAAAGCCAATCGATTCTTTTAATGTACTTCAAAGCATCAAATTCTTGTCTCATCCACAAAGTGGTGCACACTGAGCCTTCGATTTTGTCTCATCCACAAAGTGGTGCAAACTGAGCCTTTGATTTTGTCTCATCCACAAAGTGGTGCACACTGAGCCTTTGATTTTGTCTCATCCACAAAGTGGTGCACACTGAGCCTTCGATTTTACCATGACATATGCCAGGGGAGTTGAGATCATATCGAAGATATCGCAACCCCAGATATTAGTATAACCTCTATTATCTCTGCTCGCTTCCATCCGGACCAACAATTAAGATTGATTAACAGAAATTGAAAAAAAAGTTGTTTGATATATTTTGTAAAAGAAACAAAGATTATATATCTAGTACAATCTGTTATGCATCAGATTTTTCTCATGCCAACACTGCAGACTAACTTCTCTTTGGAAGAAGTTTCGAAACCAGGCGGCTGTTTTCTTTTACACACCAAAGGGTCTCGTCTCCTTCATCAGAGGTATGAAGCTTATCTGATAAAACTCCTTCGATAAGTCCACAACTATTGCTTCTGTTAACCTTTATGAGGGTTACTGTTGACGTATTTTACAAACTCTGGGAACTTTGACTCTTTGGATCAATGGTCTTCCAAACCATAATACAACCCATACGTACATGTAGGACGCTGCTATCTCTGCCGTCTCGCATGTGGCTAACGACGACGATGGCGTCGGCGGCGTCGATGTTCTCCCATCCTCGATATCCAGAAGTTACGCTCATTTTCGCTCTCTAAACCCCTGCAACATGTCATAGCAAATTTGAAGGCACAAAGATAGCTGTTTGATTGGTCTCAAGTAAAAAATAACACCGATCGCTAGGTTGATACCTGTCATTTGAAGATTACAAAGGAGAGACGCCCGACTTCAAAGCCTGTCAATTTTTACCGTTACGTGACCGCGAGATTCTATTGATGTGCACCAAAGGATCAAATTAGTCTTCTCGTCTCATCTTCAAGGTGCTGCACACTGAGCCTTCGATTTTGCTTTGACATATTCCAGGGGTGTAGAGAGCGAAAGTGAGCGTAACCCCTGGATATCGAGGATGATGTGCTCCATACTCTTGTTACGTATACATGTCAGCAATATGATTGTGATTTGCTTGTCGATCATTCACGGCATGATGAAATACGAGAAACATTCGTCAAATGTCGTTGTCAAGATTTTTACGAATAGGCCTAATGCTAGAATTCCCTATCCATGTCGACCCTGCAGGTAGGGCGTAAGAATTGTACCTGCTGCCCCCAATTGCATGATCGTAAGAGGCGACTAAATTTGGGACCTTATCTCTTCTCTCCTTTCTAAATAACTTTCTTCTTCCTAATGTCTCCCTTGACAATGCCTCACTTTTGGCCATTTGTTGAGCGTTCGCCCCTGTGAGGAAGGCTTTGGGTTCTGTCCCCTGGCCGAGACATACCAAAGTCTTTAAAAATGGTAGTTTCTACTCCTGCTTAACGCTCAGCAAATTAGGAGTGGGACGACTGGTTCGCCCGTTGTCAGTATAATGTGACCGGGTGGGGCGTCCTGCTGGGTGTCTTCGGCAGTATGTTTCAGTGAGGTAGCACTATAAAGTCGGCATCAGTTCCGCGCTATCACAAGGAGACAAACACGAACATATCGCAGCCTCCCAAAATACACACACATACACTACACGCATACATCTTGCACACAGGGGAGGCCGTCGTTAAATGACCTTAGCTGTTAATAGGACGTTAAACAAAATCAAACAAACAAACAAACAAACCCTATCCATGTCATGACCTCAAATTGGGACTAACCGGATCGTATAGACTAACTATGATTCCTTTTAGTATTTCACAAGAAATTGCGGTAACAAAATCATAATACGTCAAACAAGAACTGAGACGACAAATTCAAAGTGTTATTTTATCTCTTTGTTCTCAATAATATCTAAAAATCATTCATATTCTGCCAGTGACCCGGATTTGCCCGGAAGAATTGGCAATTGTTGTGATCACTGTTCCGTTACTTAGCCGGTACTGCGCTTTCTCTTTAGTACTTCCGGCAACAACACAATAATGGCGGCCACCACAATACTCACTCCGGACCAACGCCTCAGAGGAGGCACGCTAGTATCAGAGGAAAACAAGAAAGAGCGCAAACAGGGTTGGGATAGAAAAGAACAGAAATCACGCATCTGTCTCGGTAAACAGATCGGAAGATGGATGGCTGTAAAGGTCAGCATCGGCCTGTCAAAAAACGAAGATGTTGCAAAAATGTTGTTGGACAGGTAAGTTTTGTGTCGTTACGTTACGTTTTACTATATTTGTCATTCATGTGTGATGTGTGCTTAGAACAGTGTGAAATCGGGAAATGCTTTGCCCCTTCCAGCTCTGTCAGGAGACAAGTTGTAAATCACTTAAACTAGAACCTACAGATTGCAAGATTTGTGTTAGAACAATTTTTGAAACAACACACCAGCAAAATAAGGACGACGCACACAAAATCATTGATTAACTAATTACCAATGCAACAGTGAAATTTTCAAAAACGTTCCCCATCCTCCCAAGGACAATCGATAAATGGAAGCCTTATAGATCACAGGTACAGGTAGCCTCGTCTGTCAATACACCCATAATATATAATCAAATGACCTCGTTCCAGAAAACATGCAATTTTGTCATAACCCTTGCGATTGATAGTATCATGTCGGAGGTAGTCTAGAGCGACAGGAAAATGTTTATTTAGTTTGATGTATGATTAAGTATATATCATGCAGTATATTTTTTGTTAGACTTTATGAAAAGTCCAAAAACGATCAAATTTCAGTTAGTTGGACACTGTACATGTGCTGTCTGCGGAAAGACACGCTCAATCTGTATTGGATAGTGCATACACATGACAAGTATACACTGTTCAATGTCAGTACAGTGTTTCTACGATAGGAAACAAACTTACTTGTATGATAGTTCAAGCTCTGGATGAACCAGTTGTTGCCATTACCCTAAATGCTGAACGTTAAACAGGGAATTCATAAGAACTACCATTTCAAAGGACTGATATGTCCCGGCCTGGAGACAGAACCAATTGCCTACCCCATCTAGGTGAACACAAGCCAAAAGTGAGGTATTGCCAAGAAAGGCGCTAGGAAATAAAAGGTAATTAGATATAGAGAGATATATAAAGATCCAAAATATTGCCATTAGTGCACGGTGCTGTACCCAAATAGAGGGCATAAGAGCAAAGCCCCAATTCATCAGGGGGTTCCAGCATTAGCCGTCCCTTAAATTACGATACAAGCAGTGGGTAACAGCAGATGTATTCTTTTCTCGATCCTTGCAGAGGTGGTTAAGTCTTGAGTTTTACCTTAACATAATTCAGTTTCCAATCACTTGCTTTACCCTGAAATGACAACTTAAGTCAATTCTGTCATCATTCAACGATGCAAATTCTGTCATATTGGTCATTATATAATAACAGTCCAAAGTAAAATTAAATATATCATGAAAATTGTTCTGCAGAATATGATTTTTGTTTCTGATTTGTTAAGTTAATGACTTGTTTACATTTTTGAATGACAAGATATATTGCATAGGATACTACATTTCTGCTTCATTTCTAGCTTGGATTAGCTATATATAGTTTGTCAACCTATTAGCAGCTTAATTAGGTCCATTAAGGACATGCCTCCATGCATGTATGCAGGAAGCACTTTGTTTATGTATTTGCCTCCTTGTACAGATCTGATACCAACTTTTATAGTGTTTATACTGCTACCTCTCTTAAACAACATGCCAAAGTCCCAGCACTCGACTAGCACTAGACTAGCACTATATTCCTTCTGGTCACATTATACTGACAACAGGTTGGGCTTACTGTAAAGGATGGAACATTTTGTGAGGAATAACACTGTTTTTGATGGTTATCATTTCAGGCAACAAACATCAACAAGAATTGAACTACAGGTATTTAGGAATTTCCCCTAAATTTGGAATTTGATGTTACAGTTGTCCCCATTTATTCTAATACATTTGTAGTACATGTATATGACAGAAAAACCAGAACCCTTTCCTGTAAGAAAATGTTCATGTGGTATGTATGCTTTCATAGCAACATTTTGAGTCAGTACATTGATATTGTATGTGCTTGTCTATTTGTATTTGTGTGTTGATCATTTGAAAATATCTCAAAGAAATGGTGGTAGAAAAGGGTTCCATAGCTCTTGGCCATGTCAAGCTATCTGTCATCAGTTAAATATGCATGATCATGTAAGACAGTCACATGTTTGGAGCCTTTGTCTATAATATGTAACTCTTAACTTCAAAGGTTCCTTGATGAGATGATTCTGGAAGTAGTGAGACTGAGATTGACATCAGTATGTGTACATGTATGCTTAGAACTGTATCAACAGTAGTAATTAAGATTCTACACTATTTATTTTTATTTTTTTCAGCTGGTGTTTGATCAATAGTTTCTTTGTGGATGACCTTGAAAACCTTCCTGACAAAGACTGTTCACCAGATATGCAGGCAACAATCAGTGCATGCTCTCCTCACCTAAACAGTCACAGAAATACATGGTAGGTTTCAACACCTTATATTTACACCGTCCATGTTCAGATGGCATTCAAGTCAGCTATAAATGCCATGGCCTACATTCTGATGTTATCATGGTATGGCATCATCATTGTAATGTTTGATACCACAGGACCTCCCTTGAGGATGCCTGTTAGATTCATTTAACAATTATAGATAAACTTAACTTAAGGGCCTGTCACACATAGCTGATTTGGGTCGCCGAAGCTATACCATAGCAAACATTTGGTGATTCTCGGGGATAGGTACTAGTACGGCAGCGCAACAGTACCACATCACTAAGAATGGTAGTACATCATCAGAACATTGGCAAAAAATTAGGAACAGTAGGTGACGGTAGAAATTGTTGAACAAGCTAAAAAATGTCCGCTGTTGGGCTGCCGGAGCAAGCAAGGGGACTACAAAGGAGGTACTCTGGTATGTCGTCGTTGATATTGGTAGAGCACCAGTAGCCTCCCGTAATGGATTGGTGACTCTTCGGTGGCCTCAATGTATACCGTACTTGTATCAATGTGATACCGTAGTACTACCGAATACCACCGAAGTAGTACTGATGCTGGTATAACATCGGCGGTGCAGCGGTAACACTAAGGTGACAGAAAAGTGGTATTAGGTAGCACATTGGCTCTTACATTTGTAGGACACCGGTAGAACACAGTATCACAACACGAACGACGGTATTGCTATGGTCAATTTTTCAAGTGCTTTCTTGTCGGAGCTCTGCTGTTGTTAAGTTTTTGCTCCTCTTCAGTCCCGGTGAGGTACATCGGTAGTGTGTGACAGGCCCTTTACTGTTATTTGAACTTGATACTGCATTTGGATACATAATTATTTATAAATATATCTGTTTCGTGTTGCAGTACTAAGACAACATCAGCAATGATGAAAGAGACATCCTTGTCACAAAATATTGTTAATGACAGCGGCCAAACATCAGATGCTGATAATGCTGATTTGGCTGTGTCTGGTATAAACGACTCCAGTATGAAACATGTAGAGAAGGGTCAGCAATCACCTGGGGTCTCTGACAGAGCAATGTTATCTGAAGTTAAAACCTGTGACGAGGCAACACAAGGAGTAGGTGTTGGCGAGTTAACACCAAGTATGGGTGATGTTTCTGATATAAAGGAGATCAAATGTGAGCCGGATATGTACATAGAGAGGAAGAGATTTACGGACAGTGTAACATCACCTAGTACTGATGATGGCGAGTCGACTAAAAGCGAGGACAACTCCACAGATTCTGAGGTAGATGACATGTGGTCTGTGAATGGGTCTAATGACAATGAACAAGTCAAATGTGATGTTGGGCAGTCGACCATCGAGAACAGAGATATTGTACTGGACCTGAGTTGTAGTGAGGAAGATGTGGATGATGACAATTTATCCTCTCACCCTGTCAGATATGTCCACCGTAGAAACAGTCCTGTACAGCAAATCCATCCTACTCCTTTAAAACAAAGAAAAGCAAGAAAAGCATCCAACCAAAAGAGTAAGATGAAAACCGCAGTATCTACAAGGAAAAGGGCGGCCTCCAGTCCAGAAGGAGGATACCGTCAGAGTAAGAGATTACAGAAGAAAGGGCGCCGATCCTATGTAGATGATATACAAGAGGCTGATGAGGTAAGATCTAGAGAGGTTTGTATATAACAAATAGTGTTTATGAGGAATAGCATGTGGCAAAGTATAATATTTGTAGAAATAACCAATTTTCTTCTTGATATTTCACTCATAGGTCCATATATGAATAAGTTACAGTTAATTGCTATGTATTTATAGAAATTGTTCTAATACTTTCATTTCCCAAGCTTACAGCTGTCTCTTTAAAGCCTTGGCTTTTAAGATTAAGATTTCACACAAGTGCTTTGTATATGACAATATCTTAAGAGTCCACATTTCTTACTGCTACTTTGGAGATCAAGGACTATTAAGATAAACATGCCATCATTTTAGATCTAGTGACCATACTTTTGAATAGATATTATCAAACTTCTTATGAGTGAAGTGAAGTAGACATGCCATTTTTAGGGTGTTATATTATTAGGAAGTTCAGGTCATGGACACTGTATATACCTGTGATTAGAAAATCTGTCATCTCTCTAGTATAGTGACGTTTCTCTTTCAACAGGTTTACCTGAAAGTTCATACAAGTATTGTGTATGATTGTACCTAAAATAAGTTAAAGTCTCAGAGTGCTGTCATCAAGGTTACTGTTTCTGGTAAAAGGTCTTTGTCAGCACTCTTGCAACTTTCTTTTCCATTACAATTCTATGGAAAATTCATACTGTTAATATACCTATGACAAATACTGTGTAAGTATAATTCTAATTCATTTGAGATGTAACACGGCATTTGATTGGTCAATTATATATACAAATAATCTGTGACAGTAAAACCACGTTATACCATCCGCAAATTTCTCATTTGCATATGAAGCCTGGATGGCGGTTGTTAATGACGTTAATTACCCCAAATGACCCTGACACATCATGAAATTAATTATTCATGATGTCCAATACAATAGTGTGACCCCAAAAGGTCAACGGCATTCCGCCTTACTTCGAATATTCCTTACGACATCAATCCATTGCAAAGTGACTCAGAATTTGAAGAAAACACTGAAAATATCTTAAAATTGTCGTTTCTTTTGATGGTTTTGGCTGATATGAATTAGAATGGGGATATCCCTACTGCATGTATTTTGGAGTTTGCATCTGTATATCATGATTATACTGTCACAAATATCCATTTTTCTGGCTCGCTCCATGCCGCCAGTACTGAAACTCAATTTGCGGCAGTATAATCACGATATACCGCTGCAAATTTCAAAATACAGTAGGGTTATCTCCTAAGTGTCAGGGTGCTCTGGTAAAGGTCAAGAACACTGTTACTATTTTTTAAGAAATCTTATTCATTACTCTTTCTTAGTTTAAAATGGATTTCCAAGAGTATACAACAGTGATAGCATAAGTTTTAAAATTGGGGTCCTAAGCAAGTGGGAAAACATTGGAAAAACAAAGAAACACACCCCAGAAAGAAACCTGCAGAAAAAGGGGTTCTTGCAAGTTGTTTGCTGAAGGGATATAATGATGAGGTCATCTTAAAGAAAATTTCTTATCTTCAACAGAGTATGTGAGGGGATTGATATTTTTCATATATACCAATGGTAAAATTAGCTATTGTGTCACTTACACCAATGGAGCTAATAAAACAATACTTTGACTTTGTATATATATATATAAATATATATCGAGTTGCAACTACATGGCTGTTTATTACACCTGTACATCAAGCTATGCTGGATATTTTTCTCTCTAGATTGAACAATCAACTGTCCTGGAATGAATAACTAGAGAAGGCTTTTATAAGATCTTTCTAGGGGCTTGTACCTGGTACTAGAACTATCTTTTATACCTATAAAACAAAAAAATCTAAATTCTGTAAAGATGAAATATTGGTTTGTATGTTGTAGAGTCATTCTGTTGATACAAGCCTTGAGGGTGTCCAGGTGACAGAAAGCCATTATAACCTCCACAAAGGAGACTTCAGCAGCGTACATCCTAAGAAACGACACACCGCCAGGTACTCGGAGGCAGAAATGAACGATCACATAATCCGTCCACAGACACAATGTATCTCCACACAGACCGACAATAAACGTGGTGAGAGGTCAAAGTCAAAGGTTAAAGACAAGACAGAGATCAGTAGGGTACCAAAGGAGCAGTATCACAGTTCTGATGCAGGCAAAGAACAGGACATTGACACGTCTTCTGGGAAAGTTCATTTAGACTCAGATTATTTGAAAGAACCAGAACCAGACGAATCAGATTATGATCCACTTTTAGATGAAGATATGGAAGCAGTAAACCAAGCTGACTCTGATGATAATCTGACCCTAGACGAAGAGGAACCAGTAACAAGAAAAAAGCGAAAGTATACAAAACGCAAAAAAGGGAAAAAGGAGATGATTGATGGTGAAAGTGAAGGTGTGGAAAAGGGAGATGATGATGGAGAGGATGACAAGGAGAAAGCACAGCGGGTGGTGAAGAAGTCACGAGCGAAGCGAAAAACACGCAATAAAGGAGAAAAACTTAACTGCTTGCCAGGTAGCAGACGATCCGATAAGTACTTTCCAGATATCAATGTCCAGTTGGAGGAGCATGAAGATAAGTATGAGGTGATAACCTGGACAAGTCACTGTAAGAAGGATCGCGGAGTGGATGTAGAGCAGAAGTCATTCCATGGGTACGGCTGTAAGATGTGTAGTGGTGTGTTTAAAACCACAGACAGGTCAGTGATGGAGGTCCATCTGAAGGAACACATGCAGGGCAAGTTGACGTGTGGCGAGTGTGGGCTGGTATTCAGCTACTACACCCAGCTGAGGAAGCACCGCCTCAAGTTACATGTGGAGGCCAAGTACACTTGTGAAGAGTGTGGGGAGCAATTCCATTACATAAAGGTCCTTCACACACACCTCTCAAAGGTTCACAATAAGAAAGTTTACCAGTGTAAGAAGTGCCAGATGAACTTCCAGTCAAATGTTGACCGCAAGGCTCACAGCCTTGAGGTGCACCCTGAATGCTTTGACAAATGTACAGTGTGTGGAGAGACTGTGAACATGACTCTTTGTAAAAATGCCATGGAGCGTCACATGCGTTCTTACTGGTGTCAGCGCACTGCCAGCTCTATCTGTGAAATCTGTGGTAAGGAAGTCCAAAGACTGTCCATCAAAACACATATCCGTCGTGTACATCACAAGACCAAGACACTCCGTTGTGATATCTGTGACTTCTCCACTCATCTAGGTTCAACTTACAAACTCCATATGATGACACATACAGGTAAAATCTATGTCTTTTATTTATAAAATGTTTAAATAAAAAAAATGGATGTTCAAAATCAAATTTGTTCTAACATGTACTAGTAACAGTCATCTTTCCAATTCAGGAATTATGCTCTTGATAACATATTTTCTTTATAAAGAAAATGTAAGAGAACAAAACCCTAGAATTTTGAGGATGTGGTAACTGTACATGTATAATACTATAATTTTTTGAAGGGTTCAAAAAGTATCCTCATGCGTTTTAAAAAATATCTAATGAGCGGTGATTGATAACACTTTAGATGACTTCACATGGAGTGCCTGTTAGCTATAGCTTTTGCCATGTTGTAGGGTTCTTCGCTTGTCTGTCATTAACTTAAATGTACCAATGGTTGTGATCCCCGTGGGGACTGAGTAGGGATCCCAATATGTGAAATGGAGATAAAGGTTAAATAGACTTCTTAAAGTACAAGTAAAAGGACTATTCATGAAGCATCCCTAGGCAAAGGAAACTATGTATAAAAGCTGGGTCCTCCTAGTAACAGCTGGGTCCTCCTAGTAACAACTGGGTCCTCCTAGTAAAAGCTGGTTCCTCCTAGTAAAAGCTGGTTCCTCCTAGTAAAAGCTGGGTCTGGGTCCTCCTAGTAAAAGCTGGGTCTGGGTCCTCCTAGTAAAAGCTGTGTCCTCCTAGTAAAAGCTGTGTCCTCTTGGTAAAAGCTGTGTCCTAGTAAAAGCTGGGTCCTCCTAGTAAAAGCTGGGTCCTCCTAGTAAAAGAAGGTAGGACCCAATCAAGGGGGAAATATTGTAAAAACTGCTTGAGCATAGGTGAAGAAATTTTAACCTTTTTTGTTATGAAGAATCTCTGGGTTTAGAGGAGTCAATGTTGGAGTCAATGTTGTGTGAATGAAAGCTTAAGGTAGCAGAGTACAGTAAAAATGGCTTGAGCCTAAAAATAAAGGGCATGTCTCGATAAACATGGATAGTGGATTCATCCTGCACAACACACCTACATATATGTATATATTTATAAACTACATTTTGAAAAGTGCTTTCCCCATATTTGGGACTTGTGAAAACCATGGTTACCACATCAAAAAACGCAGGTCACTGCAAAAAAAACCTTTGTGACCCAATGGGTGAACGTGGAGCCCAGTAATGAAAACATTTGTAAAAAGGTTATTTCTTTTACTGATGCAATTTTCCATGTGAATGATTATTTATTTCAGGAGAACATCCTGTGAAATGTTCGTTGTGTGACTTTTCCTGTATCCGTAGTTACCAGCTGACATCACACATGCGGACACATACAGGCGACAAACCCTACAAGTGTGACAAATGTAACTATGCATCCGCCTGGAACGTCCAGCTCAAGGACCACAAGAAGGCACACTTCAGTGATGACCAGATCAACTGTGACACCTGTAACATCACATTCAAGGATCGACGTGGACTCAACATGCATATCTCTAAAGAGCATGCTAATACCTCTGTTGCTGACTCTTATGTGGTGAAGAAAACTCCAACCGACACAAACCATTATCCGACCAGCGGAAATCAAGTGGATGCAAACTCTTACACAGCGAGGGGTCATCAAAGTGCTATAAACGCTTACAGTGGGCAGGGAAATCCTAGCACATCAGATGATTACATTGTTCGCGGAAATCTGGGTGTACAAAACTCTTATAATGCTAGAGGAAATCATAGTGTAACCGAGGCCTACGTCGCGAGGGGAGGCAACTTATATTAATTCATATTTGATATGAAAAAAATAATTAATGTTGGAAAATATCACTGCCTATTGTTTAGGGCACGATACCTATAGAATAATGAAAACTTTGAACTATTGAAAGTGTTTATACTATTGGTCAACTGAATGACTTTAAATTTTCTGTGATTTGGTTTTACTTTCTATAAGATAAAGTATAATAGGAAGTGTATATGATATATGAGATATTTTTGGCTATACCATATGGTTAGATACAGTGTATTGTTGTTTCACTGGATGTCTTTGTTAGTGGTGTCTTTAATTGGCTGTGTAGTTGTTTAACAGAGATGAATGGTTTTATTAGCTCACCTGCCTGAAGGACAAGTGAGCTTATGCCATGGTGCGGCGTCCGTCTGTCCGGCGTCAAATTTTTGCTTTAAACATCTTCTGAATAACAAAGATGTCTAGGCTGATGATATTTGGCCAGTAGCATGCTGGGATGAAAGTCTACCAAGTTTGTTCAAATGAATGACCTTGACCCACTTTCAAGGTCACAGGGGTCCAAATATGTTGAAATCTTCAAACATCATCTTCTCAATAACCAAAAGGCCCATGGTACTGATATTGGGCCTGTAGCATGCTGGGATGAAGGGCTACCAAATTTGTTCAAATGAATAACCTTGTCCAACTTTCAAGGTCACAGGGGTCAAATGTCGTAAAATCTTCAAACAACTTCTTCTCAATAACCAAAAGGCCCCGGTATTGATATTGGGCCTGTAGTATGCTGGGATGAAGGGCTACCAATTTTGTTCAAATGAATGACCTTGACCCACTTATAAGGTGACAGGGTTTAAATGTCGTAAAATCTTCAAACCACTTCTTCTCAATAACCAAAAGGCCCAGGTAACTGAAATTGGGGTGTAGCATGCTGGGATGAAGGACTACCAAGTTTGTTCAAATGAATGACCTTGACCCACTCTCAACCTAATTTCCTTTTTCGACATTCAAGGTCACAGGTGTTATATGTTTAAATCTTTTAATAGGTACTGAAATTGGGCCTGTAGCATGCTGGGATGAAGGGCCACCAAGTTTGTTCAAATTCATGACCTTGACCCACTTTCAACCTACCTAATGTCCTTGTTCGATATTCAAGGTCATAGGCGTCATATGTTTAAATCTTTTAATAGGTTCTAATGAATCAAACACTGATATTCTGCCTGAAGCTGTATTTTATTCCACTTTTAAGATTACAAGTGTGAGATTAATACCAGGTGAGCAATGCAGGCCAATTGGGTCTCTTGTTACTCTCCACTGTTTAATGTAGATCTTTATGAGACGGTATACACTCCAATATTAGTCTATAAAGATGTGTTCAACAGGAGTATTTGATCTCTTGCTAAGATAATGCACAATTCAGACCTGTTTGTAGTTTCATGAGTCAATGATGCAAAAGGTCAGAGATGGCGATTTAGGCCTTCTGGTGGCTATCCCCGATAAATTTGATTTTTTGCATATACCCACTTTTGGTTTATTGTCATGATTTGACATGATATTAACTCATTCACCCCTGAAGTATCATAATGAACTATTCCAACTTTTGAATTGGAAGAGTGCAAATTTGTTTTCAGGGGTGAATGAATTAAGGTGAGCTTGGAGACCATTCTGAGATATGAGGGGTAAAGTTTTTATTATTTTGTGTCATGGATGATAAATAAGTAGGATTGATTCACGTAGGTATCTGTGATGGAGTTGTAGGTTGTGATGAAAACTGTTTCTGTCTTGTTTGTATTACATGTGCCAAACATTAACATTATACTGTTTTTAAAAAAAAATCTAATTGACAAAAACTTGAAGTATATTGGGCCTTGCTTCACTATTAATCTTAGAAAAATAATCATAGAACCTGATTACCTATCCAAACTGGACCATCTATATGCACACATACATTTTACATGTGTTGAAGGAAACACTTTTGAATGATTACTACTGTGAAAGTATATATTTTAGTGGTAGTCTTATTTTTTCACATTTCAAGCATGAAATATTGTGCTAAATTATGATGCGCCATTGTGCTAATCAGTTAAAACTTGACAATGCTCAAAATTTTAACTGAGTTTAAATAAGTACGCCTGCAGTATTATGCTTGTAGGAGTACTGTGTTATTGTATGAAATAATGGATCTCCTCTTAGTAAGTTATATACCAGGATATGTACATCCTGCAAATCATATACATGTGCTAGGAAACAGAATCTGGAAATATAACTTGCGTCTTTGCTTACGTTGCTAGGACTTTGTTGTGCAGATCATGTTTCAAAATACATTTGTACGACCATCGTATTCTCCTGTATGCATAGCTTTACCCGGTCATTATTATGGAAATATATAGCTTTAATTAATTGATATGAAATTCTTTTACAAATATTTATCTCTTACATTTGTTACTAGAACAACCAAATAGTTGCAAAAGACTTTGTCCAATATACATGTACCAGACAGGCAGGAAGCGAGCCCCTAAACTAGTCCAGTACACAAACTACAGGGTTAGGGTTGGGAAATTAGCGTAAGTCGCTCTATACCTGTTATTTATTTATCTCAACATTTATATGAAACATTATAATACAATGTTATACAATTTACACAAACTACGGCTTGTCTACTATCAGTGCTTAAAAACATATTTAAGCTATTATCACAAATAATTAGGTTACACATCACAAGCTGAGGAATTTTAAACAAAAAAAGGAAAAATCAAAAAAATCTGAAAGAGGCTATAAATTATACAAGTGTGTACATGTACTAGTGCATGTATACTCGTATGCTTTTCAAATGATGATTCAGATAAAATTTAGTTCAATGACTTGATCTAATCAAATGATTAACTGTATCTCACTCTACATTTGCATGCTTTGTATTAAACATATCTGAATTACAAAAGTACTGTATAATAGTCACACAATGTAAGTTAGCAAAAGGTATAAGGAATACCGGTGTTAATAATATCTCTCTTACTATTTTGCTGCAATCAGCAGTTGATATGTGTTTAAAAGTATTTGTAGTGTTCTTAGCCAATCAACACATTACTAGTAGCCGTAACCATAGCTGCCTGTCAACCTTGGAAACTTGATGACTTGAATATCTTGAGATAAGTGTACTGTTTGGCTATGAAAAGTTAACTTCTAGATTTTCTTATTGTAAAAAAACATTGAATTACTTAAGAACAGTCAGAGAACAACAGCAGTAGTTTTGTGTTTTACAGTCGCTATTATAAATAATTGTCAGGGTTGACAGCATAGGAGTAACAAAATACAACACCTTTACATCAATCTTTTTATACGACCGTCAAATTTGACGGTATTATTATGGTATTGCGTTGTCCGGCCGGCCGGCGTAAACTTTGTTTGTCCAGCAATCTCCTCCTACATTTTTCGACCGATCTATTTGAAACTTGGTATATATGATAATCATGATATGTAGTTGTGTCTCCCGTAAAAGAATTTGATTCGACAATTTTTCCAAAAGTTATTGCCCTTTGTTCATTTCAGTATTTGATTTTTGTCCGGAAATCCCCTCCTACATTTTTCAACGGATCTCCTTGTAACTTGGTATACATTATAATCATGATATGAAGTTGTGTCTCCCTTATAAGAATTTTGATTCAACGATGTTTGAAAAATTTATTGCCTTTTGTTCATTTCAGTATTTGATTTTTTGTCTGAATATTTTCTCCTATATTTTTTTATAGCATATCAGCTAACCACTCTTAGAATGATGCAGATCTTATTTCAATGTAAGAAAGTATATAACACTATATGGCATTCGACGGGCGTATTTTGTTCCGACCGCAGTCCTCTTGTTTATTTACTTCTTAACTTTACATGTGTTGTTTGTTTTTTGTCAGTGCCATAGACTGTACATTTTTAGCACACCTGGTCGGAAGGACCATGGTGAGCTTGTGCCATACCACAGACTCCGTCATCTGTCCGTCAACTTTTCCTTTAAAGCGCTACTAATCCTGAACGACCCATTAGATTTTGACTAAATTTGATCAGGAGCATCTTTAGGCCAAGGGCACTCAATTTGTATAAATAGTGGGTGTGGCCCCCTTGGGGGTTGAGAAGTGGGACCCAATAGGGGAAATAGAGGTAAAACATTTAAAATCCTTCTTCTACCGTAGGGATGAAGGGATTTTATCCTAATTTAGTTTGGAGCATCCATGGACCAAGGGGACTCAATTTTGCAGAAACAATGGGTGTTCCCCCCCATAGGGCCAGAGGGGTGGGGCCCAAAAGGAGAAATAGAGGTAAACCTTTGAAATCCTAATACCACAGGGATTAAGGGATTTCATCCCAATTTAGTCTAGAGCAATCTTAGGCCAAGGGGACTCAAATTTGTATAAACAGTGGATTTGGACCCCCTTTGGGTAGAGGGATGAGGCCAAATAGGGGAAATAGAGGTAAAACCTTTGAAATCCTTCTTCTACCATAGGGATTAAGGGATTTTATCCCAATTTTGTCTGGAGCATCCTTGGGCCAAGGGCACTCAATTTTGTTTAATCGGCGGGTTAGGACCCCCTGGGGGCAAGGAAGCAGGGCCTTCTATTGAAGGGATCATAGTATTTATCCTAATTTGGTCTGGAGCATGTATAAACGGTGGGTGTGGCCTCTTTGGGTGCAGAGGGGCGAGGCAAAAGGAAAGTTTGAGGTTTACATCTTTAAAATCCTTCTCCTTCTGTACCATTTGAGGGATTTTATCTAAATTTGGCCTGGGACATCCTTGGACAAAGAGGTTTTAATTTTGTATAAACAAAGGGTGTGGCCCCTTTGGGTGCAGAGTTGTGGGGCTCAAAAGGGGAATTTGAGGTATAAGTCTTTAAAATCATGAGGGTGTTGCTTCATTGGGTGCTGAGAGGTGGGGTCCAAATTTGTTTTAGGTTAAGGTCTACAAAATCCTTCTTCCTTTGTACAATTGGAGGGATTTCATCCAAATTTGGCCTGGAATTTCCTTGTGCAAAGGGGACCTACTTTTGTATAATTGGAGGGTGTGGCCCCACTGGGTGCAGAGTTGCACAATCCAAAATGGGAATTTGAGGTTTAATTCTTTAAAATCCTTCTTCCTCTGTACCATTGAAGGAAGTTTTTTGTAATAAGAATAGTTTCCCAGGGTTCCTTTATTATCCAAGTGAGCGATACAGGCCCCATGGTCCTCTTTTACCTGTATTCTCTAAAAATCAGGGATTATGTAACTCTTGTTGTAAGCCGTAATTTTTTCACAAAATTGTGTCCTGTCTAGGATACTTATAATACATGTTATGTATGGTGTCCTGTCTAGGATATCTATAATACATGTTACGTATGGTGTCCTGTCTAGGATACCTATAATACATGATATGTATGGTGTCCTGTCTAGGATATCTATA